GAAGGTATCGCCTCTTTATAATTTCCCCTGAAAAAAGGTTTGTAATATGGAGGAGAAGACTTACCTTCACTAGATGTATACAAACAGGGTCAGGACAATCATTTTTTAGAGTTAATGATGATTCAAGAACCTGATTGAGGAGGACTATGGATATAGAAGGATGAAGCTAAATGAGAAAGCTTCTGAGTCCCCTTCCAATTATGAATTCCATGATTCCTTTGTATCTTTGGTAGACTTTCCATTTTCTGCCTAGTCTTTGAACATCTGTCCCCTTAATTAGTGGAAGTATTGCATAAAGGTTAATAAAACAAGTGCTAGAGCCATATTTCCTGGCTTTGAGTCCTGCTCTGCCATGTACCAGTTGTATGACCTGAAATTATTTAATTGCTCTGTACCCCAGCTTACTTATCTATAAAATAGTGATTATAATAAAATATATATCTAATACAATTGATGTAAGATTAAATGAGATACATAAAACACTTTAGCATAGTGCCTGACACAGTGTAAGCACTCCAAAAATTTTAGCTGATATCATCTCACTCTCTGTCAGTTATTTCTACTTCTAAAGCTAGGCTTGTCTGTCTGGTCCAGATAGTCCCTCTCTTCACATACCCTTTCTGATTATCTCAGGTTGTTTTTGGCTAGGAGGACCAGTAAACTCAAAATAGCTTAAATGATAATAGGATTTATGACCTCACATATCAAGAGGTACAGAGCTAGGAGGATCCAGGTTGACTAATTCAGTCTGCCTCATAGCATCAAGGATCCAGGCTTATCTTCTCTGCTCCACCATCCTCCATGAGTTGATAGAATATTGCAATCCAGGCATCATCTGTACACAAGACTACCTTCAGCAAAAAATAACAACCATTTTTTTCCTAGTGGCTTTTTTTTTTTTTTAAGATTTTATTTATTTATTTGACAGAGACAGCTAGAGAGGGAACACAAGCATGGGGAGCGGGAAAGGGAGAAGCAGGCTCCCAGCCGCTCAGGGAGCCCGGTGCAAGGCTCGATCCCAGGACCCTGGGATCATGACCTGAGCCAAAGGCAGACGCTTAACAACTGAGCCACCCAGGCACCCCACTTTTTTTTTTAATAGAATGAATACCCTTTCTTTGAAGCTATTCACGTCACAAAGTCCTCTCATATTTCTTTTTTTTTTTTTAAACATTTATTTCTTTATTTGAGAGAGTGAGAATGAGAGAGAGTACATGAGAGGGGGGAGGGTGAGAGGGAGAAGCAGGCTCCCCGCTGAGCAGGGAACCCGATGCGGGACTCGATCCCGAGACTCCAGGATCATGACCTGAGCCGAAGGCAGCCGCCCAACCAACTGAGCCACCCAGGCGCCCCGTCCTCTCATATTTCACTGGTGATGACTGAGTCGCTTGTCCCTTCCTAAATCAGTCACAAAAAGGAAAGAGAATTACCATGATTGATCTAGCTAATTAGGATCCACCTTCTAGGACTCAGGAATAGGGTCACTTTCCCTGATCATGTGTCCTTTGACGAAGGCAAACACCAAAAGAAAATCTGGGCTAGATTGTTATGTGTGGAAGAAAGGGGAGTGTGTTAGAGTAACTTTTTCTCTGCTATTGCATTTTCCTTGGAGTAAGAATTACTTTATTTTACACAGCCTTTAAGAGGCTGGTAGTCTGTCAGTGGAAATGCCTGTCAAAATTCTTAAAAGTGGATGCATCATTAATCACTGTCTGTTTTCTGAGGGTTTTTAAGAATCTAAAGCTCAAGTTTTTCTGTTTCTCAGTGAATGAAGGAAACCATGTAGCTCCTTAAAACTGCAGTTGGAATATGTGACCGTATTCCACAGGTGGGGCTGTTATGAAAGACCTTTTTTTGTTTAATTTTTCCCTTAGTGCTTTGGCTGAGAAACAGTGTTTAGACACTGTGAAATTAGTCTATGTATCCAGATAGTTGAGCCTTTTCTGACTTATGTGTGAAAAGGAACTGCAAAGTTGTCATTCTGATTTGAAGAAATATTTGAAGAAGTAATTGTTGGAAAAAGAAACACCCAGCTGCTTTATATTTTTCCATGTCACCTTCCCCCTTTTTTAATTTTTTTAATTTTTTTCATTGAGATATAATTAATATATAGCTCTGTGTAAGTTTAAGGTGTACTACATAATGACTTGACATACATATGTACTGAAAATGATTACCACAGGGACGCCTGGGTGACTCAGTCAGTTAAGCGTCTGCCTTCAGCTCAGGTCATGATCCTAGGTGCCTGTGATCGGGTCCCACATTGGGCTCCCTGCTCAGCGGGGAGCCTGCTTTGTTCTCCCTCTGCCTGCCGCTCCTCCTGCTTGTGTTCTCTCTCTCTGTGTCTCTTGCTCTGACAAATAAATAAGTAAGTAGGTAAATAAATAAATAAAATTTTAAAAAAGAAAATGATTACCACAATAAGTTTAGTTAGCATTCATCTCCTTATATAGCTACAAAAAATTTTTCTCCTTGGGATGAGAACTTTTAGGATCTACTCTCTTAGCAACTTTCAAATATACCATACAGCAGCATTAAGTATAGTCATCATGTTGTACATTGCATCCCCAGTACTTATTTGTCTTCTAACTAGAAGCTGGTACCTTTTTGACCACCTTCATCCAATTTCCCCTTTTGCCAGCCCTCACATTCTCTTTCTGACAGAGAAATTTGTTTGAGGGTATTTAAGCCTGAAAAAGAAAAATACTGAAGGTCTATTATGTGGTAAAAGACGTAAACTTAATTTTGTGTGACTCGACAGCAGATTTAGCATCAAGATTGAAATAGTACATAGCTTATTATAGGGAGCAACTCTGTAGTAATAAGACTATTTAAAAAATAGTGGGATGATCCCTTGCCAGGAGTTTTCTAGGAGAGGCTTGCAGGCCCCTCTGAGGAAGTTCCAGAATGGAGTTCTGATGTGGGGAGATGGTGGCGGGGGGAGGTGGAATTGCATGAAGGCATATTTAAGAACCCTTACAATTCTGATCTCTATTGATGTTTCCCAGCTAAGAGATATGGAAAAGACATGTGCTGAGTTTTATTACACTTCAAACTGAAGAGAATGGGTGCTTGATTTACCTATGGGAGAAAAAATAAATATATGTGTATATGCAGTCTCCATGTACAGCCAAAGATCCATAAAGCTCCATAGGTTATAACTCTTTTATAAAATCCTCTAGGTACTAGATCCAGTTAATTAAAAAATAGAATATTGGCCATTTTCTTGTGTAGTCAGTTTCTTCCAGTATTTGTCATCTTAAATTCAGGTGTATGACTATGATTATATGAATGACTCTGGTCTTTTAAAGGGCCTTTATCTAGCGCTATGCAAACTAAGTGTCTAGGCAGCTGCACAAGTCAGGACCAGGTGAACAAAGCAATAATTTTATAGACTATCTAATTTATGCTAGGATGAGATTACTGTGCTTCTTAAGGAGCCTTCAGGGTCTTATAGTTTAAACTGATTTGAAGGAGGAAAAAATGGCTGGTGGGACAGTTTTTTTGAATCATTGCTATTTGTTTGTTTGGCTCAGTTTCTAGGGCCACATGAAATAAATATGATGTCCGGGAGGGTTTCTGGTCTTATCTTTGTAAAGGAGGGCAAGAGAAGTATTCAGGATTGAAGGACAGTCTGTAATCTATGGAAGGAAAACCTCTACAAACTTCTGTTTCTGGGTGTGTGCTTGAAGTACTGTGTTCACTTCATTACAGGATTTTCCAGGTATCCAGAGTAAGTGATAAAGGGCTGGCTACCCCTGGAGTACTGTCTCATTGGAAGGCAGTAGAGTGACTGAACCCAAATAGTGAATAACAAAGCAAAGATTCTCTTTTCCTTCAGGGAGAGACCCCGTCTTTCTGAAGGATAGCTGACTGCCAAGTTCTCTTACTTCTTCATTGCTTAAGATAAAGGAAAGAATTTAAGAGTTCATAACCATCATCTGATTTTGTTGCCTTTTGATGGGGGACACACTTAAAGTTGGTAACATTGTTGTGGTTTGTGGTAGCTGTGGAAGTTCTCCCTTGGGAAAGGAGAGTGGTCCTCTCTGGTGGTGAATAGAGCTTTATAATATACTTTACTTCTTTCTGGAGAGAGTCTGGTGCTCAAGCTGAAAATGTAAGCAAATTTCTGTAGGAAATGAGGGAGGGCAAATAAAGTGCTAAGAGGACTCATACTACATTGCTTTAGAACTGGATCCTGGTGAATCTCAAAATAATTACCAAGAATCCAGATATGTATGATGTAAAATGCTAGCGAATGCGAACTAATCTGTAGTGACAGAAAGCAGATCAGTGGTAGATTGGGATGGTGGAGAGGGGAGGAAGGGCTTACAAAGGAGCAGGAGGAAACTTTTGGGGTGATGAATGTGCTCACTATCTTGATTGTGATGATGGTTTCACAGGTGTGTGCATGTTTCATAATTCATCAAATTGTACATTTTAAATATATGCAATTTATTGTATGTCAGCTTTATCTCAATAAAGCTTTTATTATTTTTTTTAAAGATTTTATTTCTTTATTTAACAGAGAGAGACACAGAGAGGGAACCACAAGGGGGGAGTGGGAGAGGGAGAAGCAGGCTTCCCGCAGAGCAGGGAGCCCGATGTGGGCTCAATCCCAGGATACTGGGATCATGACCTGAGCCGAAGGCAGACGCTCAACGACTGAGCCACCCAGGCACCCCTATTATTTTTTTGTTTTTTTTTTTTAATATTTTATTTTTAAGTAATCTCTACACCCAACATGGGGCTTGAACTCACAACCCCAAGATTAAGAGTCGCACACTCCACTGACTGAGCCAGCCAGGCGCCACTACCTCAATAAAGCTTTAAAAAAAAAGAAATTAGTCAGTCAGTCAATCCTGGGTCAGCATTTATCCAGGGACCCTTCCGTACGTTACAGGGTGGCTGCTGCAGACTAGTGTGTGAAATGCAAGTCTTGTGTATATGTGAAGTATGGATAAATAAACTCCCGTTTAATGCATTTGATGTTTCTTTAGGAGTCCGTAGAGGCTACTGTATTATTTTGAAGAAGATGTCTAACAGTAACACTACTCAAGAGACCCTGGAAATAATGAAAGAATCAGAAAAAAAACTGGTGGAAGAATCTGTAAATAAAAACAAGTTTATATCTAAGACTCCAAGTAAGGAAGAAACTGAGAAAGAGAGCGAAGATACTGGTTTGCGTCAGGAGGCACAGGTAAGGATTAGAAGTGCATCATATGCACACTCATTATACCTGAATAGAAAGGTCATCATAATTGGCATTGGGAATCTGTAAGAAGCCAGTCACTTGATTCTCCCTAAAAGCCCAATTTTCAGCTTTCAAGAACTATCTCCTTCCCTTTTTGTCATAGAGTCCCTAGTGAAGTTTAGAGAAGATAGTAATTTCCTAATCCATTTGGACCTTGCTACATTTGATATTTTTTAACTATCAAAAAATGAACTGTATACAAACACATATTTAACAAGTCATAATATGGCTCATACAATAAATTCTTAAAACTTCAGCTGCCTGGCTTTACACATGGTGTTAAATTCATATCCTGGTTGTGTTAAAACAGCATTTTCTGGGTCAGAAATAATCTCTGAACTTGCCACTTGGTAAGTGAGTGAGAGGAATTTCACTCTTTGGTTGCCATGTTGTTTTCCATCCAAATTCATAGTGCAGTGCAGATATGATGGCAGTAGGTAGCTTCCTCCAGGGCTCCTATTTGGTACCCAGGGAGCTCATACTCTGAGCCTCCTCTGGTTTACCTGTTCCGGTCCTTCTCTTCTCTGTGGTCACTGCTAGTGTCCTCTGTTACCCAGACCCAAATTATGTAAATCCTTTCCTTCATGCCCAAGGGTTAGACTGGTCATTCTTACATGCTTAGGAGATAGACTAACCATAGTAAGTTAGTTTAAAAAGCAGTGGCGGCAACATTTTTTTTTTTTTTTAAGATTTTATTTATTTGACAGAGAGACACAGCGAGAGAGGGAACACAAGTGAGGGGAGTGGGAGAGGGAGAAGCAGGCTTCCTGTGGAGCAGGGAGCCTGATGCGGGACTCGATCCCAGGACCCTGGGATCATGACCTGAGCTGAAGGCAGACGCTTAACGACTGAGCCACCCAGGCGCCCCGGTGGCAACATTTTTGAGGGTTTAGAAAGTTGAAGCATCATTTCTCCTGACAGCCCAATTCATCTAGGCCTTTTCTTCTTAAAAGATTAAAACAGCAACAACATAAAGGGACAAATTAAAATCAGACAGCTCTCTGAAATATTTTGTTCTCTGTCTGCCTGCTTTTCTACTGTCCTCTTACAATTTGCGAGATCTCTATACTGGCTGCTTTTCTTTCCATTATCCTTTGCATGTGAGTTGTCATTCCTCGCCCCTCCTTCTAGAGTTTGTAGAGACAATCTGCCACTGTTCCAACTGTACTTCCAGCCTCGACTGATACCAATAATGAATTTTAAATCCTCAGGACACATTAAGTGATGAATGTTTAATTATGTGCTGTCATGTTATCTGGAAGATGATAATTAAATGAACTTTTGGGTCCAAGTTGTTCTCAGGAGACTATTTGAAGTGGTGTTCTAAACTCCTGTTGGGTGTGTACTCCTTGAAGATAAGCAGAAAAGACAGGATGTATATAGGTGTTATACACCTTATGGACACTCAGTTCAAGAGTGTCTTCATCTGTATATACAAATAGGTCGTGTGGGAGGTTGGAAGGGGAGCCTGCCTCTGACTTTTTGAGGCTTCTAGAGCAGGGGGAGCTGCTGCTGCCATCTACTGGAGCTCCCGCTCCTACAAAGTCTTTAGTTTTGTCCCACCCTTCAGAATCCCTCTCCGCTCCACTGTTTCCCAACAGATCATGTGCCCCCTCAACAACACTAAACATTCTGCTCTTTCTCCTACCTTCCTCCTCCCGCCCGCCACTCATACCCTGGACGTCTCCCCAGGGATCTTACTGATGCTGTCAAGGGAGGGCCTGTTATGATTGGAGCTGGAAAGTTTGCAGAAAGGGGACTTTCCTTACTTACACTGTGTGAGACATATTCTTAGAATCAGCAATTGGAACTCAGAACATCTTTCACATGGAAACAGTACTATAAAAGGCAGGTTCTGAGATTCAGTTTAGAATGGGCAAATTAACCCTGACCTACTGAACTTAGCGGGGGTCCTTCAACCAACCCATACCAATTGGGTATGACCTCCTAGCTCGGCTGTCTGCCTTTAAACTTGTGATCCTTTTGGATTCATCTGCCATACTGCTTTAGAAATATGGCCATGAAATAAAGATCTGATTATGTTCATTCTCTTCAAACATGCTGTGTGTCTCATTGTCCTAGGCTAAGACCCAGATTTGTCAGCATGACATATTGTGACCTAATCCCTTGCCTGGCAGCCATCCGCCTCTGGCATCCTGTGCCTCAGCATTATCTGATTCCTTGGTCCTTGTTACAAATAAGAGCTGAAAAGTTTGGAGAAAGCATGCTTTTGTACATGCTTTCTCTGCCTAGAGTGCCTTCCTTGGTATTTTTTCCTTGGCTTCCCCCAACCCCTGAACCTCCCTTGTCAAATCTGCCTGATACCTGTTTATCCTTCAAAACTCAGTTCAGATGTGTCTTCCTCTAGGAAGCCTTCCTTGACAACCTTACTCATCACCCATTGCAGGTCTACCCCGTATAATTCTTCGAGTAATGTCTGTCTCTGTCTCCACAGAATTATAAGCTCATTGAGGCCCAGGATTAGGTCAGTTTGGGCTCACCATTGTATCTCGAAAGCCCGATGCAGTTCTTTTTTTTTTTTTTTTTTTATTCTTATGTTAATCCCCATACATTACATCATTAGTTTTAGATGAAGTGTTCCATGATTCATTGTTTGTGCATAACACCCAGTGCTCCATGCAGAATGTGCCCTCCTCAATACCCACCACCAGGCTAACCCATCCTCCCACCCCCCTCCCCTCTAGAACCCTGTTTGTTTTTCAGAGTCCATCGTCTCTCATGGTTCGTCCACCCCTCCGATTTCCCCCGCTTCATTCTTCCCCTCCTGCAACCTTCTTTTTTTTTTTTCTTAACATATATTGCATTGTTTGTTTCAGAGGTACAGATCTGAGATTCAACAGTCTTGCACAATTCACAGCGCTCCCCAGAGCACATACCCTCCCCAGTGTCTATAGCCCGATGCAGTTCTTTGCAGACACTCAGTGTCTGTGAACGTGTGGGTTTGTGAGTCGCAGGTCTGGGTTAGACACGGGTGCTGTGTGTGCCTGTAGCACCACGCGGCTGCTTCTGTACTGCGCTTAACATACCGTATGGTAGTCGTCTGTTTGGCTGTCTTCTCCAACAGCGTCATGAGTCCCTTTTGGACAAGGTGTTTTTTAATCTCTGTATTCTCCAGTAGGTAGCATGGGGCCTGGTACATATTAGACTTTCAATATGTGTTTGACTATTACATGAAAGCTATCCATTCTGGGAAATAAGCAGATTCATAAATTGCTTATAGGGCTATAAATTGGTGTAACGTCTTTGAAGGGCAATTTGGCAATAATTTTATTAAAAATTAAATTTAAAAAAAATTTTTAATGGACTACAGATAAACTGTATTTGTAGATATACTTAATGATATGGTCATTGAGGCATTGTTTATACTAACAAAAGATCAGACACATCCTAAATGATGGAGTTTAAGGGACTGGTAAAATAAATTATAGTACAGCCACAGAGTAGAATACCATATTAGACATTAAGAAAAATGGTAGATCTTCTGTAGAATAATATCCATGGAAAAAAAGTTTAAAGGCAAGGTGTGTACAATATACATCTATTTGGGTTTGTTTGGGGTTTTTTTAAGATTTATTTATTTGAGAGAGAGAGAGCACAAGCAGCGGGGAGGAGCAGACTCCCCACTGAGCAGAGAACCCGACTTGGGGCTCGATCCCAGGACTCTGGGATCACGACCTGAGCCGAAGGCAGATGCTTAACCGACTGAGCCACCCAGGCACCCACGTCTGTTTGGTTTTTAAAAAAAAAAAACAAACCTGTATATACATATGTACAATAAGCTTATATATATTCATAAAAGATCTATGGAAAGATTATAAGAAAGTCAGTACTACTTGATCCTCTAGGAGAGAACCAGGTAGCTGGGGGACAGATATGAAAGGAGACTTACTGTTGTATGTACCCCCATTACACCTCCTGAATATTTGTGTTCTGTGTATGTTACTACCTTTTTGAAAAAACAGTGACAAATACTGTTTCATATTCCCAGACTCTGGCTCTTCCTTACTGTAACATCTCTTACATTGACCAGATTCATCGTCATTTCTCACTCTTTCCATCCACCTTTCCAGTTCTCCATTTTGCATTGTGGCGATGTTGTTTGGTAACTAGTGAAGAGGACAAAGGAAAGAGAAATCCTCACCTACTCAGGACCATGCTGGTACTCTGCTTCTGTCTTGTTTCCCCTTCCCCACCCACCAACCTCAGTTCTCTCCCCACCCCAGCGGACAGTGAGTTCCATTCCAGACACCTGAGAAGCCCCAGGTGCTTCCTCCCATACAAAACCCTACTGTACTTCTTCCCCAAAGCCCCCATTTTGACTTCTCAGCTGTTCAGAAATCCTATCAATGAATTAGTCGTTTCTTCCCTCATCTTACCACAGGCCTTCATTCTTCATCTTCTTCAGCTTCTATTCTGCTCCTTACCCTCTCTTTTTACCCTCCCCTCGCTCTAGAAGTCTTGTCCATATCTTCCACGCTCCCTTATTTTTATCCTGTCCCAGACAGGCTATAAGAGCCACCACCAGGAGCTTAGAACTGGGAGATTTCTCATCTTCAGGGAAGGAGGCAATTGGCAAGAAGAGTCTTGTTTGCATATCAGCAGCCATGGGGACAGGTGCTTTGGGTCTCTCAAGTTAGAACTCTGAACATGTTATCCTATAAAGATGTTATTATAAGTGATGATTAAGGGCCATATTGCCTGTACATTATGGGTTAAATAGGTTCCTGTGATCATGCTTGGGTAAAAACACTCTGTCATGCTATGGTAGTGACATTTCCAGAAGGCGCCTAATCAGGAGAGGATTCCATGGTTTATCCAAAAGTAATTTTTATTAACCTATGAAGTAGGCCAACCAGTCAGTGTCTTCCTATTCATTTCCTTCATGGTAAGTGATGATTTGTATGTAGGTGGTCTGTGGTCCCTTCCGTGTCACAGTTACTAGAGTTGTAGCAAAGGGGAGACAACCACACCAAGTGGTTCTCATCATAGTTTATCTGTTGTAATGGTTTTACAGTTAGTGCTTTTTCTTTGTAAACTTGTATTGTTTTTAACCTAAATGTTGATTTTCTACACCTTTAATATTTTCTAATCCCCTTCTAACAGAGGCGGACATCCAGCCATGGTCATGCCAGGAAAAGAGCCAAGGTGAGAGCCCTTTCTATATACAGTAGTCCCCCACACTTATCTGAGGTTTCGCTTTCCACAGTTTCACTTACTTCTAGTCAGCCACAGTCCAGGAGCGGATGATCCTCCTTTTGACATATCGTCAGGTCAGTAGTAGCCTAACAACGCTACTTCACAGTGCCTACATCGTTCACCTCACTTCACCTCATCACGTAGGCATTTTATCATCTCACATCATCCCAAGAAGAAAAGTGAGTACAGTGCATTAAGATATTTTGAGAGAGAGAGACCACATTTAATATAAGTTTTATTACAGTATTATTAACTGTTCTATTTTATTGTTGTTGTTACTGTTGTTAATCTCTTACTGTGCCTAATTTATAAATTAAACTTTATCTTAGGTATGTATGTATAGGAAAAAACATAGTATATATAGGGTTTGGTACTATCCATAGTTTAAGGCATGGCATCTACTGGGGGTCCTGGAAAGTATCCCAGGGGATAAGGGGGGACTACTATACCTTCTTTTCTACTGTTATTAGTAATATGTTTCACAAATGGACTTATCACTAATATCTAATTTATTTGGATTATATACAAGCAAAGCTTTTCTGCCTGCCCTTCATGCTCTAATTGTGAATGTACGCACACACACACATTTCCTATTAGAAGGTTTCGCTGTATTTTTCTCTACTGTCTCTAGTTCAGTCACAGTCTATTTCTGATACCCAGCCAGAGCCTCTCACAAAGCCTGAGCAAATTGGTACTGGTTCTGCTGTAAAGCCAGATTCTCTGTTCACTTCTGGTTTCTCTAGGAGTACTATATGAGTGTTCTCTTTTCCTCCAACATTTTTTTCTCATTTATCCTTTAGGAATTTATCCTTTATAAATCCTGCCCCATTAGTAGAAATGACTCAACACTTTTGGACATCCTAAAAATAAAGCCTTTTTTGGTGGTGGTGGGGTTACTTTTTAGGTTGGGGCAGGGAGGAGGAGGAGGATTTTGTTTTTAATCATTTTATGATAAAATTAGCACATCGCAGATTATTTTAAGCAGTGTTATCAGGGAGGACTACATGTGTTAGTGTGTGATGGTTTTTTAATTTTAGTTAGGGGAACAGTAAAATATTAAACCTTTCTTGCAGTGAGAACGGTAGTCACCAGAGTAATTATCAAGGGTGTCTACCCCATTCTCCCCCAAAAGACAATGGCAGAATTTGGGGGTGGCTCAGCCAGTATATGGCCTGGGTTTGAAGAAGACCACAACATCAAATAAATTGACTCTGTGTCTTGCCTGACATGGCCTAATCCTCAGTGAGGGGTTGATGTTAAAGTTCACAACAGAGGGTGTTCACTTCTATTTCACTCCCACCCAAACTTTTTGAGATAATAGACAGTTATTGTGTCCATTTTACAGATGAGGCGACTTGGGTTTATTTATTTATTTATTTATTTTCTTTTTTTTTTTTTTTAAGATTTTATTTATTTATTTGAGAGAGAGAGACTGAGAGAGAGAGAGAGAATGAGAGGGGGGAGGGTCGGGAGGATCAGAGGGAGAAGCAGACTCCCCGCCAAGCAGGGAGCCCGATGCGGGACTCGATCCAGGGACTCCAGGATCATGACCTGAGCCGAAGGCAGTCGCTTAACCGACTGAGCCACCCAGGCGCCCGCGACTTGGGTTTATAGAGACAGAGTGAACTTGACATGATATTCACTAGTAAGTGGCAGGGCTCTGCAGGAAGTCAGTTCTTCAGACTTGCAAGTTCTTTTCACTATACTGCACGACCAGGAACACATGCCATGTTTTATGCTGTTGTATTCATGGCAAATCTTGATTTTATTATAAGAACTCTTAGTAAATGTTTATAGGTAGATTTCTATAATTTTTGGCTTTGGGGATCCCTAGGAGAGCAATGATTTACAAAGTGGATTTCAGATTTTTTTGGTATTCTCCAGCCAGCAAAAGTAAACCAAGTGTATTAGCTTCCTACCACATTAAATCCCAAATGTTAGGAAGTTTTCTTTCTCTTTGCTCTTTTCTTAGACACTTCTTTCCACACTCTTGCCACCTCAGGTTTAGAGTCATTTAGCATTTATTGTCTGCTGTGCTCCAGGCACTATTTATGCTATGTACGTTTATATACTTTTTGTCACCTAATTCTCAGAAGTCATCCTTTTAAGTGTTTTTGTCCCCATTTTACTGAGGAAAAACAGAGACCCAGAGAGGTCAGGTAATTTGCTCAGGGTCTCTCATAGCTCATGAGCACAAAAGCAGGAGTTGAAGCTAGGACTTCTCATGCTTAAATCCAGTGTCTACTAAGCTCTGCAACTGTGAATTTTCAGTAAACTTCTGGGTCTGAAGTTGGAACATGGGCTAGAGAAAGGGGGAAGAGCTAAGTGAAGTGGTTTTCCTATCATCTGTTCAAAGTAGCCATTTTGTTTTTATGTTTACTAATGTAAGTAGGGAAATTATCTTTGAAGGAAATAAGGAACTGGTGAGTAAGTCCTCTTTGGGGGAAAAAAAAGAACAACACAAAAACCCTACTTAATGGAAGCAGCAACTAACAGAGCCAAAGAGGATACCCTTCATTCAGTGAAAAGCAGCTTTCTGAATGTCCACCAAGGGAATGTATATATTTGGTTTTTTTTTTTTTCCAGTCTAATTCCAAGCTGAAGTTGGTGCGCAGCCTGGCAGTGTGTGAGGAGTCCTCTGCCCCATTTGCTGATGGGCCACTAGAAACCCAGGTAGGTCCTTTATCAGAGTAGTATAACCTTTGAGTTTGGCAGTTGTTTGGTAAACTGTAGTGTAACAATCACAGCATCAACATTAGACTTGGAAATCGGGGTAGAAGGAACTTCAGAACAAGTGGTTGCAGTAAAGCAGGGCATGGTGAAAGCATGAAGTATAGGCCTTCACACCTGGACCACCCGGGATGATGCAGACAAGGAGATCCTGGGGCTGAATCTTGTTTTCCCACCCACACTTCCCTCTGGCGGTTAGAACCATTTCCATCCAGTTCCTATGCCAAGAACAGCCAGTGTAACTTGAGCTCTCCATATAGTGGTTGTGATTGTTGGCAGAAAAGGCTTGGCCTTCTACCCTTTTGGTAGAACAAAAGCTTAAACAATTTAATTAACAAAATACTCTCTTCTTGGGGCATCTGGGTGGCTCAGTCGTTAATCATCTGCCTTCGGCTCAGGTCATGATCCCAGGGTCCTGGGATCGAGCCCTGTGTCGGCCTCCCTGCTCCACAGGAAGCCTGCTTCTCCCTCTCCCACTCCGCCTGCTTGTGTTCCCTCTCTTGCTTTGTCTCTCTCTGTCAAATAAAATCTTTAAAAAAAAATACTCTCTTCTGTAAGAGAATGCTGCCACCCAAGATTTCCCTTCTTTGAGATTTCAAGGGAGAGTAAAATCCTGTGGGAGAATTAAAATCCCATTTCCCCTTTGATTGTGTTCCTCTTACCCCTTATCCAAGGATATAATTCAGTTGCACATCAGTTGCCCCTCTGACAAGGAGGAAGAAAAATCCACAAAGGATGTCTCTGAAAAGGAAGACAAGGACAAAAACAAAGAAAAGGTCCCAAGGAAGATGCTTTCTAGAGGTGAGAACTTTCCCCACCTCTCGTGTGTCCTGGGGTCTGGCTCTGCAGTGCCCTTTCCTTCCATCGTGGAGCCTGGCACCCACTGACCGTACTGGATCGACAGTTTCTAGTGTGCTGCTGACTTTATGGTTGCTTGGGGAGGTGTCTGACTAGGTTACGTTCTTTGATGCTTTAGCTAATCCTGCCTTAGAGGCTCACATGCTGCAGAGAGCTATTCCGTTAACATTGGCACTACCTATAAGAGGACATTGTAGTTAATGCTGATTTTATTTCTGCTCTGGAATAAGTAGTGACTTGAGTCACCACTAGTAGCAGATCCTCCATATACCATTTATATTTTGGTTTTGGGATGCTGGGAGTGATTTTTTAAAATCAGATTTGCATCTAATTATTAAGTTCTCCTTGGTTTTAAACTCTTGGGCTGGTAGCAAAAAGACCTGGTCCATAAAAATTATAGTTGAGAGGAAAAAAGGCAACCTTGGGATTAAGATTTTATAAATCAATAATAAATGGTTAACATTTGAACCTGTTTGCTGAGATTCTCGAAAATGCAGTTCTGACTGCTCTTACCTGGAATTTATTTTCCTTAACTTGAATAAAATCTGCTTTGCTTTGGTCAGGACATTCAGCAAATAATTATGGTAAGGTAGCTTCTCAGTGTAATACAGCACTATGACCCAGATTCTACCTTCCATCACTGTCATGGGGAATCTGGCAGGGGAAAGGGACCTGGCAAATCAAGTGTCATTCTGGTTTTTAAGCTAAAACCCCTGAAGTTTGATTTTACTTTGCTGTGATCTCTCCTGATTGGGTTGTGGGTTTCTGCTTGGGATTAGATTTCACACAAGGCAGTTTCATTTATTTTAAATTTCTTTTGTTGTGTTGGTTCTAGACTCCAGCCAAGAATATACAGACTCCACTGGAATAGACCTACATGAATTTCTTGTAAATACACTGAAAAAGAACCCAAGGTAAAAACATTATTTGATGGAAGGGGGATAGTAGGACACAGCAGGATACCTAAAAGGACAAGTAGTTTCTCAGGATTTTTCCATTATTCAAATCTATGATGCTCACCCCCGACCACCATTTCCCTCTGTGAGGGATTCAGAGTACTTTCTTGTTGGGGTGTCTGCTTTCAGAAGAGCTGAGAAAAATCTGTGGAAGGAGAATGCAGAGACAAAGAAATATGAAGTCTTGGGAGTACCATTTAAAAGCATAGAGGGAAAAATAATTGTTATATACATAAGCTAAATCATAATTTTTTTAAAATTGTATAAATAACCAGATGGAATGTAGACTACTGATTAGATTTATTTTAAGTATAAAGTATGTGTTTAAATGAATATGGCTGCCAACAGAATTAGGTTTCTGATAAGGAAAACAAAGTACATGATTAGGAGCTAATCCTGCCTTAGAGGCAAAATGTATACTTGATTGTTTTTCTTTTTTAAAGTAATACAAAATATATACTTGATTGTTTTTCTTTTTTAAAGTAATGTAAGACAGGCCAGCGAGGCTCAGCAGCCTTTGTGTTTTTGTCCGCTATTGGGGTTTGGATCTATCCCCCTCTTCAGCTTCTGTAGTGTGCAGGTTTCAATGCTTTTAATGTCTATGGGAGGGCTGCTTTTTGTTTTGTTTTGTTTAATCTTTTTTTAAACAGGGACAGAATGATGCTGCTAAAATTAGAACAGGAGATTCTGGAATTTATTAATGACAACAAGTAAGTTACTTGAATGAAATACACGTTTAGAGGTGGGAGGGGGCACTGAAAAGAAATTCAGGTACAATTTTAGGATATTCCTCTTATTTCCCTTAAAGTCTGAATTTTGAAGTAGTTACTCACTGGGAACCAAAAGGAGTTGAGAAATGATCAGAATGTATTAAAAAGTGTATGTGACCAAGTGAGGTTTTTAAGTTATTGCATAGACTGGAGTTGAAAAGAATTGATATCTTTTTAGCAGCTAGCCCTTGTCCCATATTTTGTTATTCTTAAATTTCTCCCTTTTTTCTTTATAGAATATCATCCAGGTGGGGGAGACCTAGAGCTTAAGGAATAGTCTTAAATGAGGGTAGTGCATCAGAGCGATCTACAAAATGCTATAGATAAAGAAGCTGAGAGAACCTTTTTGGTTCCCATTTGAGTAAGGATCTATCTTCCTTATAACATGTCTGTTTCTCCTAAGAAATTCTCCACTTTAGACACTTACAAGAAAAATTACAATTGGCAATTATTGCTGTTGTTTGTCCTTATTTCATTTTTTCCCCTGCTTTCCCTTCAGTAACCAGTTCAAAAAGTTCCCTCAGATGACCTCATATCACCGGATGCTATTACACCGGGTAGCTGCCTATTTTGGGATGGACCACAATGTTGATCAAACTGGAAAAGCTGTCATCATCAACAAAACCAGTAACACGAGAATGTAAGGGAGGAGATCACAGATTGGGAGACTTCCCTGGGATAGCCTATGGGGTGAAGAGGAAGGTATAGAATCAAGATACCCCTTTCCGGGGAGGAGACAGTAATGGAGGGTTATGTTATCAATTCCTATGCTTCGTGAGGACTTGGAGATAGATTTTAGAGGCACTGGTGTTTTGTGAAGACTAGCCCCTGGCGTCTCTTCACCTTTACTGATGGGACAGGTATAACTGACAGAAGAAGACAACTTATATGTATATGTATAAAGAATAGACCTTGAGGATTTCATTGTGACTTTTTGGATGCCTGACTCCAGAAATCCCCTGAAGGGAAATTGTGGAATTTAAGAGTGCTATATTAGGTCTGCTTCCTAACAAAAGCGTCTTTTTCCTTCCTTCCTTCTACGTTTCTCTCCCAACCCCAGCCCTGAACAGAGATTCTCAGAACACATAAAGGATGAGAAGAATACAGAATTTCAACAGAGATTCATTCTCAAGAGAGATGATGCCAGTATGGACCGAGATGATAACCAGGTGAAGAATGGAAAGGGGTGGGCTTATACAGAGAGATTGCAGTAAGAGAAACTGGGAGGGGAGAAGAATTTTTGTGGGATAAAGAAAATGTAAAACATCTTAGTATGGAAAATTGCATTGAGTTATACTGAGTTGGCTTTGGCTTAATGTTGAGGACTGACTACACTTGTTGAACTGAATGCTGCCCTCCTAGCCCCAGAGAGACATGGTGCTGAGTTTTGCTGGGTTTTCTCATTTGGCCTAGAACTCCCTGGTTCTGCCACTGACTTCTAACTCATGTCATTTTGGGACAAAGCAAGGTCCCTCCCTGCTTCAGCCTTGATTCAGCTGACGGCTTCATTCTTTTTTTCTTTAATAGTTAGGAATTTCTTTGGGAACCACCAAAAGCTACTTTATCCCACTTCTGTCTTATCCTAGCTCAGGGCTAGCCTTGGACTGGCAAAGTTGTGATGTAATATACCCACTTATAAAGATGTTTCTGATCCCTTTCTGCAAACTCCTTGTTCTTTTCCCAACTCCTTCTACCAAGGTGAGTGAGTTAATTTGACATTTGATGCTGGGAGTCTCAGGCAGTATCCCCTTTTTAATCCATTCCTGTGGGAATAAGAAGTGAACAATCTGCCCCATCCCTTCACTCATGGGCCTGGCTGTTGCCCTGACTTCTAGCCTGCCCTTCAGATAGTAAGGTTTTTTTTAGGGATTAGTTTTCCCAGCCAAATACAGGGTTTAGATCCAGCCAGCTTCTGCTTGACCTCCAAAGGAGGTTAGGTAGAGAACCAGGATTAAGGTTTGAAGAACATGGTTGGGTAGAGCCAATATTAGTCTTGCTAATTAATGATAACTGTAATAATATCTTACCTCCAGAGTCAAAATTAGTTTTCTTGGGATATTGTATGGTCTTGAGACCAGGACTTTTCCTGCTTGCTACTTGAGTATTTGAGGGAGTCCTTTTGAGAAAAATGCCATTACCTTTTGTGGACAAACCACGCTGGGTCTGATTGAAAACAAACATACAAAAGACAAAATTTAAAAAACAAGAAAGAGCCTTTCCATCCTGATGCCCTTCTCTCCATTTTCCCAAAACCCTTTTTCTGTGGATCAGGAATTATTCAGGCCTAGAGACACATTGGGGCGGAGTGGAATCTGTCCATATTATGAACTTTTCATCTCTCAGCTTCAGGCTCGATCCATAGTAGGGTAGGCTTTATGCATTTTCTGTCTATGATATTAATAATAAATACAGTAATTGTTATTTCTGTTGAGTGTTTTCCCTGAACTAGACTCTGTTCTAAACACATTATGTGCATTATCTCTTTTAATCGTCTCCACAACCCAGTGTAGGTAGGGTTATTAGCTCCACTTTAAATATAAGAAAACTGAGGCTAAGAGGTGTTAAGTTACTTGCCTGAAATAACATTACTCAGAAGTGGAGAGCTGAGATTCTGCCTGGGACCTCAAAGCCCATTATGCTCTTGCTACTCTGTCACTGGCTCACTAGTGTTAGGGGCACTTGAGGTCCTACATCTTCTTGGAATGGGATTTATAAATGGACATTTAGTAGGATTTAGGTTCTTAAGTCTAGTGAGAATTAAATCTAGTCAAAAGTTGATACTCCTAAAGTTATGCCTGCCTCTGGTGAGGGTCAGGAAGAGCAGCTTAGAGCAGCGGCCTCCGTGGCTGCTTCATCAGAAGCTTTCAGAGCCTCTGGGTTGAAGGTCAGAATCTTTCATACCTGATGACATTCATTTGATGGGCTATCTCCCTCAGAGCATCTTGCCTTCAAGAGCAGTATGGAAAAGGACACTGTGTACACCCTACCCGGGACAGTGCTCACAACTCACAGGCCAAGAGAGAAAAACCATGATGGAGAGTGGGGCGGTAGGCTAGCCAGAGGTGGTGATCTGCCCAGCTGTCCCTCATCACCTCTCTGTAGTTTTCAGAGAATTTAAGGTTCTCTATCCTGCATTTCCTTCTTTTCCCTTTCTATCACTCTCTCTCTCTCCTCCTTCCACCATACCTTAATTTGTCTCTTCCTTTCCCTGTCCATCCTTCCTTCTGTTCTATTCTCCTTTTCTTTCTCTTTCCCTCTTTGTGTTGCTCTGTTCTCTTTCTTCTCTATCTCTGTAATTTCTATCTCTTTCCCTCCCTCCAAAGGCTGAAGTTAAGATGAGAAACAGTGCTTAAGCTTTTAGGTTAGCTTCACTTGGATTTCATTCCCAAGGCCCTCTTTGCTGAGCTGTGTGTGACTTGGGTCTTCAGGCCATAGCATTAGTGAGTAAAGAAGGGGTAATATCAGGTGCTAGTTCGGTAAAACTCTTCTCTACATTCAGCTCTGCTAAATACTTGTTTCTTCTCCCTCTCTAGCTTCCTCCTATCCCTTTCTTTCCCTCCAAAGCAATGTTGTTTATTCCCTGGGCTATTCTCTTGATCCTTAGTATCTGATTACTATAAGGAAGCAACCCAATCCTTATAAATAGTTGTTCTTGACACACTGGGTGGGGGTGGGGAGATAAAGAGGTTCCAATCATCCAGAAAACCTGATCTCCCAAACTGCATGGTCAGATGTACCCAGTGAAACCTGTCCGACACTGGAAATTTTATTTCTTTTTTTTTTTCCATTTTTTTGATGGCAACTATAAACTCTCCCGGTTTCTCTTCCTTGCTGGTGTGCAGTGAGCTTGCAGTACGAGGAGAACTTAACTAGCTTAATTCTGCTCATCGATCTAGATCAGAGTTCCATTGCAGGATGGAAGGAGGAGCAAGTCAATAGAAGAGAGAGAGGAGGAATATCAAAGGGTCCGAGAGAGAATATTTGCCCGAGAGGTAAGTGTAGCTTCTGAGAGTTGTCAGCCCATAGCTTTTAGCTCTTAATCTTTGGAACTGTGATTGGAATGAACCCTCCATAAATGTTTTGTTGTTGTCTTTTTTTTTAACCAACATCAGCCAGCCCCAGTTTGGTCTCTCAAATTAAATGTGGCTAACTGGGAAGCTGCAGATTTTTATTTGTATTATTTTTAATACATTTTGCTATATGGCATACAAAGAGAACAAATGGAATGGCTGAATTTGGTAGATATGATTAGACTGAAAATAGAAATGGTTTTGGCAGGGCTTATGGAAGGGCCCTGACTCTTGCCTGTCAATCCCTTTTCCCCTTTACCCTCTTTCACTTCCACTATCCATTTTAGGCATCTTTGCTTCTCAGTGGAAGACTTAGTGTCCACACAGCCTATATACATCCATCTTGTTTGGCCAGCCTCATTTTTAGGATATGTTGGTGGTTGTTAGAGCACAGGTCTGGCATCCATTCTCTGAGATCCACATTCCACATGCACAGAGGGTACCACTTACTATTCCCTCCAGTCTCTATCTGAACAGGAAGTCTCTTTCTTCCTATATTTCCTGCCTTGCTTCTTAGAATAGGATGGAGTCTGTGGGCCAAAAGGAAACATGATCATTTTAGGCAACTTTATTCTTAAGAATTGTGGGCCATATTAAATATACTTGGTACCCCTGTATTTGGTGGCCTTTGCCTAACAAGACTAAAGAGAAGTATAGCAGAAATTCAGGAAAGGCTGTAGATAAGCAAGAGAGGAACAGATCTCCAGAAAAACGTAGGATCTGGGTAGCAGCACTATCTTACAGTCAAATTAACAAAGGAAAAAGAGCCAGCCTCCCTTTGTAGTCAAAAGATGGCCAGTTCTGATCAGTATACTTTGATGAACACTACTCTCCTCTCATTTCCCCACTCTCCCCTCCATCAGCAAGACAAAAAATACATTTCTCTTTCCATCATCACCTAGTTCAGAAAAATATTTTCTCTGACTTCAAGATAACTGAACTCCTCTATGAACTTGTTCCATTGTCTCAGGAGACCCAAGTGTTCCAAGGATCCTCCCTGGGGAGAGATACACAACTAACCTCCTGGCCCAAAGTCCAAGGAGAAGGAATCATCTTAGCTTCTGTTATATAGACTGTGATTCTGAGTCAGAAAAAAATCTGTCCTCCAAATTATCCAACCATAGCTCAAAGAGGGTTCTCTACCTTTACCTGCGAACCAGTTGTGTGGAATGAGAGGAGAGAGGTCACTTGTACATGGCTGTGGCCGGCAATGACCTTAAGTTGTGGACAGAGCAGGTTGGTGGATGATAATAACAAACATCTATATACTGCTTACTATCTTTCAGACACTGTTCTTAGCATTTTGCATAAATTATTTAATCCTCACACTAGGTCTCTGAGGTAGGTTGCGATATTTTCCTCATTTTAGAAATGAGGGTCTAAGGCATAGAAAGGTTAAGTAATCTTAGGTTGATACATGAACTCAAGCAAAGCAGTCTGGCTCCAGAGACCATGCTCTTGACCCCTAAAGTAAACCACCTCTCCATAGCTTGCTCTGCTCTGGGCACTTTAGATTAGGAAGTACCAGTGACATCATAGCATAGCTATCTGTGATGTGCTACTCTGCTTCACTCATGCATGGTAAATGACTGTCCCACTGTGCCCGCCATTCGCGAAGCCATGGGTACTCTGAAAACAGAAGTAACTTTTAATAAGGTATTGCGGCTAATTAGGAACAACACTGGAACATACCTGTTTACAGCTGTAACAAAATCCCAATTAGCTCTTCTCTCCTTTTTTTCTCCTGATTTCTAGTCTCTCAAGCCTCTACTAATATATGTATCCTTTGTTAAATCCTTGCGGATTTACCACTTTTCATTTCAGCACTTCCTAACTCTTGCTATGTTAGAGGCATCAGGAATCTCAGAAGGTCTAGACAAGGAAATATGGTCAAAGCCCACCAAAATCCAGAGATTCCAGTGTGGAGAGGAAGCTGCCCAGGCAGAGGGAGCTGGTGAAGGGTGGAACTGTAGGTTGGGGCGGACGGGAGGAAGAGGCAGGCCAACAAGAAAGGGAGGTGACAAGAAGGGTGTTTGGATGGAAATGCTGCCACCGCAGCCTTCTCTGAGCCTGAGCTGCCCCGTGTAGGCTCTGCTCTTTGTGGAGCCCACTCTGCTCAGCAGCTGGACACTCCGGGGGCCTTTTTCGAAGGCTTGGGAGTGCATCATAATGCTCACTTCACTCAGCTCAGTGGCTTTGTCAGGAAATGATCCCCCAAAAGGATTGTTTTGGGCTTTTAATTCTTTCCTTTTTTCTAGGCTCCAAAAAGTACCTGCTTCCCCAATTTCTTACTCTCCTTGGGTCTCAGGTCAGGTCAGAATGTCTTTCATTTTGGCCAGTGTGGAGGATAGAAATGGAATAGTCACTGAGGATGACTTCCAAAAAAACTAAATGTCTTTCTCTTGTCTCCCTTTGCCCTTCCGTTGATCATACTCTGTAGGACTAAGCACAGCAATTATTATGCTCAGCTTACCTCTAGAGAGAATAAATTTACAACTAAAAAGGAAATAATAGGTTCAAACTTTCCTCTTCCTCCTTTCCATATCAGTGTCTCTTTTTAAACACTCTGTGGGAAGGCTAAAAACACTGAATGCTCTTTCCCACTAAAGGTGAGAGGTCAGATTGGGTGTGTGGGTGTGGGTCATCCTGTCCCTGCTCCCTCTCTCCCTGTTGGGGGGTGAGCTTGGTTTGAGGACCTTGGGTATTCATAGCATCACGGACACCCTTTTCGGTTATGCCATGCTGTTTTCTTATAAGTTATTTTCCGTTTTCTCCCCTTCACCTAGACTGGCCAGAACGGATATCTAAATGACATCAGGTTAGTACCACTTAGCATGTTCCCTGCTTCTCATTGAGCTTTGTCAGTGAGGTTAATATAATCCTGTAATGATGCTTTTCTTTGATGTTAACCAACAGACTCTCCAAAGAAGCCTTTTCTTCTAGCTCTCACAAGAGAAGGCAGATTTTTAGGTACCTCTGTGTGATCTATATCTCTCCTTGTTTTTGTTTTTGTTTTTGTTTATTTTGCTGTAATCTTTTCAGCGGAGTGAGTTTGCTCCATGCATGGCTGCTTGCAGAATAATTCAACTTGTGGTTTTTGCAACATTGGGTATTTTTCCCCATTAAAAGAGAAATGGCTCCTGCTCAATGACTTTATTTTTGTTGTTGCTGATTTCATTTTAAGTCATGGATAGGTGGTGAAGGGGACCAGATAGGTATGTCTGGGATAGGTACTGCTCTTTTCCAAAAGTTTGCTGGAATTGGGCATTTGGGGAGGATTTCAACATGTATTTATATCAAGGTAAAAGAATGGGTATCTTCTGGCTATCTTTTCTGAATCTATGAAAGATGTGAAGAGCTTATCCCTGACCCAGCGTAGGGAATGTTTTATATCTTTAAGAAAGAATAGTACGCACACACACATATAAAAACACAAACATCTCTGTCTGTAGTTTTCTCTCTGGGACAATGTAATCTGTAAGATGGCCTCAGAAAAATACTTGTCTGCCTTAGCATGGACATAGAACACGTCTTTTTTTTTTTTATGACTGTCCATGACTTGCTGTTGACATGGGTGAAAGCTGCTATATTAAACTTCTTCGGGCCTAATATTCTCCATGTTCCACGAAGCAGTCACGAGAATCTCCCTTTCATTTGATTTTCTCAGTCCCACTCCAGAGGATTACAGAAGGCGGTGGTAAGAGAAGCACTTCATTAGGATCCTATCTGGCACCAACTCATTTTAAGTACATTCTTCCCATTTTACCAATAGAAAAACTATGGAGTAGAGAAAACCTGAGTATTCAGTACTAGGATTCAGGTCCAACCCTTTCCAAAGGGCTTATCTCTTTTTGAATCCTAAGCTTGATAGGAACTTATTAACTGAGATTAGTTAGAGCTCTCATTTCCAGTACCTCAGTTGTCCCTTCCCCCTGTGTCCTTTCTAAAGCTAGTCAAACCATGTAGATATTTGAGTTGCAAGATTTCTCATTCTTGGAATGGGGCATTACCTCCTTTTCCATATCTCTGAACTCTTTCTCCTAGACCATCCCACCCTGAAGTCCATCCGAAAGCCCTTAGGCAGTGAGGGCTCTGCCCTGTTCATGATGGTTGAGATAGAGTTCCCCTTTAAAAAAAAAAATCCCTATTCCATATTGTATACTTCAGGATCATAAATCATCCCAGAATCCTGTAATAAACAGTTTTAAACTAACTTCTATGCATATGCTAATGCACAGGGCTTTACGGTTGCCAAAGTATTACTGTATCTGATTTAGACCTCTCAGTGTCCTGATTTGGTAAACTGGTTTACATGTAAGAAAACGAAAGCAGAGAAACTAAGTAGCTAACCCAAGTTGACATGGCTCTTAGTGGCAAAACTGGGACTGACTCTCTCTCTGTCTGGTGTTCTTTCACCGTGCACCAGACCAGCTCTCTACAAACATCACCCCTTCCTCTCTGAGTCCTCCATTCGGAGCCCTCATTTATCGCATTCGCTGGTAAGAATGATGCCCATTAGTGCTGTGGAGCATCAGACTACATCAAACAGCTCCAGGGATCTAGTAAGCAGGTGCAGCCCTCTCCTCTCCAGACCGCCTTTAAGCTGCTGCTTTCCATACTAAGTGTTGGTTAAAGATCTAGGTCATCTAAAATGCAGTACCATGGACCCTCAAGGGGGCAACTTCTTCTCTTTGGGTACTAGTTCAGAATTCTAGTGATGAGAAGCTGGTCTTCTCTAACTGCTTTGTACCTTTCTCCCCAAGTGTGTGAAACAAATACTGATACACCACATTCCATCATCCACATTGGCAATAACTAGGGCAACTTCCCAGTTCTTTGGAAGATTCTATTCTATTGACAAATAAGCCATTACTGACATTTACCATTGCTTCTTACACAGGCCTGCCTACCCATTCCCCAGACCCAATAAACTGAACTTTTCACGAGCATAAATCTACTTGTGAGAACTGAGTCAACTTTGATTTTATAGGAGTATAAAGTGTGAATGTTCTCTGTCCTGTACCCCCATATCTCCAACACACATACATACCCCAGTCCAGTGCTTAGAACTGAGTCTAGGAGGTTTCCCTAGTTGCCATATGTTTAGTGAAGTGGAAAGACATGGCTAGGGATTAGGTTTAGTTGTAGAGAAGGAAAATGGATCTCTTTCTTGGCCAAGACTCAACTTAGATTCTCTAACTCTTGGTGTACTGTACTAACTGAGGTTAGATCATCATACTAGCCACATTTTCAACACTTGGGCCATCACTGTCTTGGGGGAACCTAATGAGTACAGAAGGAGTACAGAAGCACTGCTACTTTGGCTCAAGCTTCCCAGGGTGTTTGGTTTAAAGTTGACTCATTCACTGTTTACCTCCTGTAGAAAGACAAAGTAAATGGCAAAATTGTCCTAATAGATAGTGCTGTGTTTGATTTAGGTATAAAAGTCTATTAGGACTTGTCTTGTAAAATTCAGGTTCTAATTATTATCTAATGAGCAGCTTCATCCATTGCCACTGCTCTGTCCCCTAACCCAGAAACAGACACATCTCTATTGAGTCCCCTCAGTAGACTTGCCTTTGGCCATTGAGTCAGAGCTCTTGGCTCTCTCGTCAGGTCTGGTTCTGTTTCTGAAGAGTCCCTGATTTACATTTCTTTCTTTGTTTCCCATTCCACTTTTGACATTCCTAAGAGAGAGGGATAAGGTTTTAAGGAGACAGGAATATTTTCCAGTTCTCTTAACTATAGAGAGAGAAGCACTGAGGTTATATATACATCTACTTGGGATTCTGAGAAGAATTAGCATGTCCCTAACTAGCTCTTCTGGTTTGTTTGTTTTTAGCCCACTGTGATTGGCTTGACTAAAAACTAAAATAGTGACCCTAGCTTTTATTTTGCCCATTTTCCCTACAGTAACCTTTGGAGCAGATATTCTCCAATAAAGAAAGGTATTTTATTTAATGTTACTCTCAAAAGAAAATTACCTTTCTTTATTAGAATAACCCCGAGCCTAGTATCTTTGAAGCTAAGGGGATTGGGATGGGGTTTTCTATTTGCTTTAGACGGGATGGTGGTGAAAAGAGGGGAGCCCAAGCTACTATGATTTTTGCTCACCTGCATCCCAGTATATATACCAAAATCTTTGTAATTGTTGTCATTTAGTTTCTTTAGGTCAGTAGTTGTTGGGGGTGGGAGATATGAAAGGAGAATTCCTGGTTCTTGGTTGCTTATTGATTAAGAAGCACTAAGGGCTCATTAAGACATAGGGGTTTTAGGTCAACCCCATCTGTCTTAAGTACAACTGTTTATAATCATTAGGCAGTAATTACAGCATCAGGATAACCCTGATGTTTCCAGAGCAAAATTAAGAGAGAAGTCTCTTTTCTCAATAGCTTTGTGCTTTGCCTAGGGCAATAAGGGTTGTTAATATGGCGGCACCTAGGCACAGCCAGCCCCCTGCTCCTTGCCATCCTGGGTCCCAAGGGCATATTTGCTTGATCATGTTGAAGATTGTAGCCCTTAGAGACCCTGGAACCAGTTGTTCCCAGATACCAACGCAGAATTTCCACGAACAGGTTGGGTCAATTTCAGACTGTCAGACTGTGTTTTCCAGAGTGCCCCATTAATCTACTCTACTCCTCTTCCCACCTCTGGAAAAGTGGTACCTCTGCTGGCTTTGGCACATGTTATGTGGAAGACCTATATTATTTATCCATATCTTGGCTACCTCTGCCTTCCCACAATAGGAACTTCTAGGAGTCCTTTTGTTTTAAGAACTCCTAGAAGAGGGTGGTACCCCTCTGCTCCCCACTATCTCCTGCATGTGTGGGATCCCTGCGGGGGCAGGGGAAAAGACCACAGCCAATCTCAGCATCATGTATATGGTTTCCTGGCCACCTCTGGTCTGATATTGAATTAGTTGCCAATGCACTGTCTTCCAGATTTGCCTCTGTGTTCCTTGTTACTGTACTGGATCTTGTTCTGTCTGCTCTCAGCAAATCTTGGTTGGCCAGCCAACTAACAAATCAATGTCCATCCTCCTCCCAACCCTTACCCCTTCTTTGTTACTGAAAGAATAGAAATGAACTCTCTCCTAGCTCTTCTGCTGAAGTGGTAGGTGGGGGGTGCTCTGACCACTGTGGTCTCTACAGGGGGAACCGTGAGGGGCTGAGCCGAACCTCAAGCAGCCGCCAGAGCAGCACAGACAGCGAACTCAAATCCCTGGAGCCACGGCCGTGGAGCAGCACAGACTCTGACGGCTCTGTCCGGAGCATGCGGCCCCCTGTCACCAAAGCCAGCAGCTTCAGTGGCATCTCTATCCTCACCCGAGGGGACAGCATCGGGAGCAGTAAAGGTGGCAGTGCAGGAAGGATCTCCAGGCCAGGTACTACAGCTTCTGTCCTTCAGTGTCATGCTCATCATTTCTTGCTTGTTTTCTGCAAAACATCACTGATGTTTACTTCTAACAAAACGTTCTCCCAGTATAGTGTCCTGGAAAACTAACATAGCCAGATGAGGAAAAATTTGCTTTCTTGGATCCATTGTTCTTTTGAGTCCCCTCTCTCATTTTCTTTCAGACCTTCTTTCCTAATTGGAAACGAACAAACAAAAGATTGGGATTCGATTATTTTATCTTATTTCTGAACAAGGTTTGGCATCCCTGTCAGCCCAAGTTCAAGTTATATACTAAGATAAGAATGATACTGCTTGCTTTCTGTAACCTCTGAGATTGTAGAGGGTTGGTAGCGCAGAAGAAAGCCTTGGAGTTCAGCTGTTTATAATCACTTGGTAGTGACCAGTAAGCCAGAACCGCAAGAAATGCTGTGGCTGCTTCTCTGGAGCCCAGTCACTGAGAAGGAGCCTGTGTTCCACATGCCAGGCCTGTAACCACCCTTCAGCTCTCCTGACGTGCTGTGTAAACTTCTCCGTTATTCCTGTTGTGCTCTTAACAGGGGGTACTTAGCTCTTTATACCCAGTGGGCCTCTATTTCACCCTCCTTCCGCCTCTAAAGAATTCTTGCCTCTCATCCCAGAAGTTCTGTAGGTCTTGTCCTCAGAAGACCTCAGTAGTCGTGAAGATTTTGCCTGTGTTAGGTCTCTGCTGCCCTTCTCTGTTACCTCTTCTCTAACCCACTGCCTCTGCCTTTATCTGGGCCTTTGTGTTCTTTTATTTCATTATGATACTAGTCCCCAAGCTGGTTTCCCTGCTCCATCCTCAGCCCTTTTTAGAGCCAGTTTATCAATCCAAAACATAGATCTAATCATGTCAGTCCTCTCTTTAAAAATGTTCATGTTTCTGCATTCCCTGCATAATCTAACCCGAATGACTTAATGCAGCATTTCTTCCTGACCCCGGTTTGCCACTTCGTCTTACTTCCAGATATCCTTCTTCCTCTTGCTCTCTAGCCATTGGTTGAATATGGTATTAACTTCATCCCCTCTTGGTCTGACAAGCCTTCTCTTCACCATTTAAATCCATTTCTCCTCCCATTTCCTCTTTAAGTGAGTTACTCCTTCCTCAGCCTTGCTGCCACACAGCTTAGTCCATATCACTGATGCATCCCTTATCCTTACCAGATAGATTGTAATCGTGTGCGTGTCCATCTCCTGTCTGAAGATCCTGTGCTGCTTAATGGCAAGGACTGTGTTCTCTTCACCTTTGTGTTCTCAGTTCATTATACAATGCCCAGCACATAGCAGATAGTCAGTAAAAGTATTTTATGTGAATGCGTGCATGGCTTGGAGAGGCTGGAAATGGGGAGAAGAGTTGGGTGACAGTTGTGCTTATGTGTGTGCACAGGCAAGTGCTTGGAGAGGCAAGGTTGCCTTCTCAGCAACTTTTATGAAATGCTGCAAGTTGGAAAGAAATCAGAGAGAAGATAGGTCTCTTAAGGGACTAGGAATCTGCACCTTCCCAGGAAGCAAACATTCATGTTTTCAGCTGTTTAGTCATGATGGACAGATTCTAGGCTCTTTAGAGGAGGTGCCTTGGCAGCCTCACATTTCGTTCCATTCTGAAATCCAACATCGACGGGCAAGGTATTTACTGTCCCTGGGGAGGAGAAACCTGCTAAGATGAAGACTCCCATCAGCAGGGCAGCTGAAGTGCGTCTGTGCTCATGCATGGATCTTCCCAAGACAGTGGGGGAATGGACAGAAGGGAAGTGAGGAGAAGCAGCAGGGAAGGAGGAGAGCCCTGCATCTCCAAGGGTAGCATGATCATGCCTGGTGCTTACAACTCTTGGTGGGTCTCCTCTTTGCCTTAGGTATGGCACTAGGTGCCCCAGAAGTGTGCAACCAGGTCACCTCATCCCAGTCCGTCCGGGGCCTTCTCCCTTGTACTGGCCAGCAGCAGCCGCAGCAGCCGCAACTTCCTGCTCTCCCACCCACGCCTCAGCAACAGCCACCTTTGAATAATCACATGATCTCACAGGTGAGTCACCACTCAGTGCCAGAGCCCCCTCCGCTCCGATTCAAGCGAGCTCTGGAAGTACAGTCATGTCTGTTGTGCTGTGGGTGGCAGGAAAGATCTGTTGGAAGCCTGCCATTCCCTCCTCCGTTTCTGGTTTGTAAGCTGTGGGGAGAGAGGCGTAAGGGCAAGGGTTTGGCTAAAGTGCTCTTAGAGTCAGCCTGGGGGCTTATTGCTTTCTGTTTCTTCTTCCTGAGAACTGCCAGTGGGATCTTTTACCCCATTCCACACTTCTGCTGTACCTCATCTCCCTCGATGTCCTGTGTAATTAGCGAGGCGATTTTGTTCACTGTGTCCATATATGGAGCTTGAAGAGATCACAGCTCCCACCATAACTGACTGAATGTGTTCATGTGACTGTTGAGCCATAAACACATATTTATGAGTTGGGGTTTGAGGAAAGGAAATATACTCGAGACCCCTGCCATACATATGCCATAAGGCACAAACCCTCCCAAAGTTGTCTTTGTTTCCCGTGCCAGAAAAGAGCTCTTTCTCCTTGTGTTGCTGGACTGATAGAGGTTGATACCAAGTAGGGTTTTGGTGAAGTTTTGTTTCTGTGGAGGTCATGCAAGTCATCAGCATCAGAATCAGTCCCTATTCTAAACTGGAACGTTAGCGTTCTAGGCTTAAGTCTCCTTAATACTCTGAGGAGAGCTGTGCTGAGGTCTTCACTTACTCTTTTTTCCATGAGTAGAGCTGCCCATGAGTGGAGCCCATCCTCTGTCCTGGAGTATCTCTGGTGGCGCTCTCTGCTAGTCGGGAAGCCCACGTCTGCACTCTGCTGCTGCAGTTTTTCTCATTTCAGCTCCCAGGCTCCCTCACCTCTGTGCTCTATTAGTGCAGCTTGGCCTCAGATCTGTCTCTTCTGTAGGTAGAACAAGCAAATCGCAGACACTCATTCCCCAGGAACGAGTGGGGAAGGGTGGCCAATACTACCCCATTCTGATATTTTGATGATCTGGGACACCCTGCTTCCCTGCTTTGTGTCTTAATGTAACCTACATGCAGATCATTCCAGGCCTTTATCTTGGCCCCTAAATCAGTTTCTCTATAGTCCTGACTTTTGTTCTGGTTCTACCACCATCTACCTCATTAAGTCCCATTCTTACCAGCTTACCTCGCTCCATACTGAAGTGTGACATGTGTATGTGCTTTCCCTGATGGGTCTTCATTCAGACCTATAAGTGGGTATGCCTCTCTCTCTTTCTGGCTATCTCTACTGTGTTTCTGTGCGTCCCTCACTTGTCTACGGTCCCAGTATTTGTTTGCATTTTCTAGGATGTGTGTAATTTAATGTAGTTTTGCTCCCTTTTCTCCTTCTTGGTCTTCATCTGCCTCCTCCTTCCATCCATCCATATCTAGAAACAGACAACAAGAGTGGGAAGAGAATAAAGAGATAACAAGAATAACCATTTGGGGCTGAAAGAATTTTAGAGTGTCTGGGTGACTGGCCCTAAATCCCAAACTTTTACTCATTCTGGCCCTGCTTCTGGATCACGAGGGTCAGTGGATAGGTCATGGGTATTGACTGATCTCCTGCAAGATGTCCAGTACTAGGTTAGGACCTGTAAATTGGAGACAGAGGAGCATTATTCGTTACAGAGATTCTGTTCCCTCAGAAATTTGTAGCAAGAGGCATTTGCAACAGGCCTGGGGACAGTGATGGCTAAACTGTGCTAAACTTTCCCTTCTTGGCAGGCTTCTGATGGCAGAGCAGACCTCCCTGTCATGTGTCAGTAGAACACATGAAACCAACGGATGAGGCTGAGGATTAAAGGACCAGTGGCTACCTTTTGCCCTATTTACCTAAGGTGGCGTGGATCTCTTGAGGAGGAGCCCTCTGGGAGTCTAGTCAGGCAACCAGGAGCCAGTGATCTAAATTCACCAGCAGGTGGCAGTCAAAGCCCTCAGGGCCAGTGTTTGGCTTCCCCATGGTTTTACAAAGTTCCCTAGCCCTGGAGTTTGAGATTCTTTGAGAACTGTAGCTGAGGATAGTGGTGGAAGAACTTAAAAATAGCACGGAGACACCTACTTTTACCACTACCCTTCCTCAGTAGGAAGAGGCCTAAGAGAGCATCATTTCTTCCCCCTTTTTCCTCAGAACTCACAAATGTGAAGAAACAGGCAGCTATACCTATGGCTACCCCTCCCCCTCCAGAGGATATAAGACCTGAAGCACAGCAGATCCTCCCCCAAGAGAAAGAAAAGGATTAGGATAATAGAAAATGGGTTTAAAAGCTACCAGCACAAGTAGCTCATGCAGAGCAGCCTGGGCAACAGTTATATTTGAAATGGCTCACAGACACTGGGTATGCCAGGAGAGCTGGAAGTTTATCACAGGTGCTGCAACATCTCCCCCAAGGTCACGCAGTGGATTCTCAGTAACTTTTTCCTAACCAAGATGACTTATATTTTATTTAATCCAGGTAACAGGAGCATTCTCTGTTTTGGAGGGCTCCTAATTCCCAGATTCTGCCTCCAGAACTATTAGTCCCCTTTGTGAAAGGGTCTCCCCAGAGGTATTTGCCAAGAGATGATATTGACACCTTGGGCCCCCATACTTCTAAATTTGAAAGGAGGGAGGAGAATCATACAAACAAAAACATGTTTGTATAATTCTGTTTAACTTCTTCCTTTGCCTGCTCCCTACTGTCAGAGTGGAGTAGAAAGAATATGTGTGAGGTAGAGGTAGGTTCCCATCCCAGCTCAGCTGCATTAGCTGTGTGCTCCTGCACGTGTGATTGAATTCCTCTGAGCCTTACTATCCTAACTGCAAATACAAGTTATCACCTCTCCCTATGGATTATTGAGAGTCTGTAATGAGATACGTATGTAAATGAGACGGTGTATATAAATGGTATCCATTCCCCCCCCCCCCCCCCCCCGGCCTTCCTAGCCTCTCTCCTTTCTCCCACCCCATCTACCACCAGGGGCTATGGCTGGAGAACCGATTCTCCAGGAGAGGTGATTGAAATGGCTGGAGGAGAAAAAGAGAGAGAAAAAAGAACTTCCCATTAGTTGCTTTAGAACACATCATGTTCCTCATAAACAAATCTTCCTGCTTGAGGCTAGTGGAGGGACTGAAGGAACAAAAGCTACAGTGAAGCTATTTATATTTTATTCCAAATCCCTCCCTGTTTGCTTATGGGGGCATTTTTCATACTGCCCTCACAGCCTGGAGGAGCACAGAACAATCATGAAGCAGGAGGAAGTAGGTGGAACCAGGCGTGGACTGGCTGTTTTTTCCTTCCCTACCCTCGGGAGGGAGACGATCCTTGTGAATGAACACTTCCTCCAGGAGAGCTGTGGTGTGAAATCAGGGGCTTGGCTGGGAAAGCTGAGCCAGACCTTGGATAACCTCTCCTACAGAAGCAGGAATCCCTGCTCAAGTGGGCATTCAAGGAGGGTTACGATCATGCTCCCCAGGAATCGTGTGTTCAGAAAAAATGCTTTGGGAAAAGCTGTGTTTGGAATCAGGCTGCAGACACTGGCTCTGAGAGTCCTAAGATTGCTCACAACAGCTGCTGAGCTCTGAGTAGCTAACGGGGTGGAGTGTGCGCTGCCATGGGTCTCTCCTCATAGGAGAGATTGCTTATTTGTCAGAGATGCAGAAGCCGCAAGCTATCTAGGGCTTGCTCTCTAGTCTGCTCAGCAGCCTCGCTATTCATGTGACATTTTTTTTTTTTTATGATTAACCTTGTTGTTCCTCCCCTTTCCCTCCCCGCCTCTGCTCCCCTCCCCCTTCCTCTCCCTGTACCTCCCTTTTCTCTTCCCTGTCCACATGCCTCTCTGCTGGTCCACAGCCAGTCCCGGCTCTGCAGCCCTCTCCGCAGCCTGTTCAGTTCTCTCCAGGCTCCTGTCCCCAAGTCCTTCTGCCAGTCTCTCCGCCCCAGCAGTACAACATGGTATAAACTCCGTTCCCCTTTTTGTAATGTCCATGTGTGGCCTGTATCTGTGGTATGTCTGTGGGGTCCATCTGGGACAAAGCAGTTGCACTTTCTGGAAGGCCGTGTTAAAAGGTGTTTCTTCTTGAGCAAAGGGCTAGCACAGGCTGAGCTATAGTCCATTCTAGTGGCCTCGTCACAGCATTTCAGGCATCAAAGATGCCTAAATATAAGACAGAGAGGAGCACTGAGTTCCCCTGAGTTTCAGGAGGGGGACAAAATTGGATGTTGGCTCTAACCTGGGCTCCTCATCGCTCTTCTGTGTGCATCCTTCATCTCATCTCCTTTCTGGACAGGTATGAACTCCCAGAACCCAGTTTATCCTGTATAGGATGGTTTTCTATAATTTCCTTCGAAGATAAAAACACAATTGCAGATTTCTCTGCCATTACTGGTAAAAACTTAAAATGTTCCTCTGTCTTACTGTGTTATTTTATATTAAAAATAGCCACTTCCACTGCATAGAACATGCTGTTTCAATTGTTTGTACCCTGACTACAAATCCTGGGAAGACCTGATTTACCTCATAGTTGATAACTCCTATCATGGTTATGAGAGCCCTGGTTGTGTGTGTGTGTGAATCACATGGTCTGATTTTTCACTGGAATCCCCTCTTTCCTTCCAACTCTCATCTCCATTCTGAAAAGCTCTGGAATGTGGACCTCAGAATAATCTGCAGTCCAGTCCTCTTGTCATCTATTCCTGCCCACTAAGGTAGCAAAACAGCTAACTTGAAGATCAGATTCCTGAAAATTAAGTGAAACCACAGGAAAGCATTGTCTTTTGTTTCTACTAGTTTGTTTTTCATAAGAAGTCCTGCTCTAGCGTGTGCGTGTGCGTGCGTGTGTGTGTGTGTGTGTGAGAGAGAGAGAGAGAGAGAATTACCATCCAGGAAGCAGAAGAAACGGGGAGGCTAACAAATTCTGACCTATCATCATATAAGTGAGAGGCGGAACACCATCCATCCCTCTTGCTGCTTAGAGAAGAGAGCTGAGAGAGGAGGCAATTACAGACTAGCCTGTCACTCTCCTTGCCCTCCAGCTCAGCCACTCAACCTGGCCTCCTTTCAGAGGTGAGAATTGGAATTGGTTCCTGAAGGGCAGGAGAACTCTAGGCAAGTGTCAGAGAACAGAGGTGGAAATGACCTCGAGAGGAGGGAATAAGGAGATAAGCAGCAGGAGGGGAAGCCCACCAGTCCTTCCGCTACATAGGCAGAGCTGGGGAGCCACATGAACCTAGCCATCCCTAGTCCACTCAAGGTGTTATCTAGGTCCTTTATTATAAAAACAGGATCTATGGCAACATAGAGCCTTTTGTATGGTTGGAGACATGAGGAAGACAGGAAATGGAGAAGGACTTACAATCTTTTTTTTTTTTTTAGCCCTAATTAGTTTGTCCTGTCTTTTCTATATATACAGAAAGTTGTGTTGTTGCTCCCATCTCTCCAAGACTAATTCTGATAGAGGTCATAGTCACAGTGGCCATTGTTATCTCATATGTGGTGAGGAGTCTGATTCTGGAGTTAGGCTTCAAACACCTGTTCAGTTAATAGCAATTTTTTTTTAAGTTTTATTTTTAAATATCTCTACACCCAATGTGGGGCTCGAACTCACAACCCTGAGATCAAGAGTCACATGCTCCAGAGACTGAGCCAGTCAGGCGCCCGTAGTTCACAGCAGTTTAAAACACCACATGTTAGAGGCTTAGGGCTAAAAAGTGCCTCCCAGGGAATGGATGCAGGAGTATCCCAAACTGGTGTAAGTAAAGAAGGCTGTAGAGAGGGTTGCTATTTCTGTCTATCTGTCTTTGTGTTGAAGCCAGATACAGGGGGCTTGATATGACCTGAGTCCTCAAGTCTCCCTTGCTGTCTCAACAGGCAGATGACCTCAGCAACCCCTTTGGACAAATGAGCCTTAGCCGCCAAGGTTCTACTGAAGCAGCTGACCCATCCTCAGCTCTGTTCCAGCCCCCACTTATCTCCCAGCATCCTCAGCAGACTAGCTTCATCATGGCTTCTACGGGACAGCCCCTCCCCACGTCCAACTATTCCCCTTCTAGCCATGCGCCACCTACTCAGCAAGTCCTGCCGCCCCAGGGCTATATGCAGCCCCCTCAACAGGTGAGCAGCATGGGCTCCCAGCTTAAATTACTAATTCAATTTGTCCACTGTTATAATCCTCCTTTCTTCGTCTAGTTTAGATAGATCAGAGGAGATACCTGTCCCCACTTCCATTTCCCCACCTTGCACTTGAGAGTTGTCTTTCTAGTCAGAAGGTCATCCTTCTGCATAACATAAATCATTCCTGTTCTGTTTCAAACTTGTATATTAATGCTGCAATTGCAGGTCCAGACATCTCTATTTACAGATTTCTGGCCTTTGACCCTGATGCATTTATGGATTTAAATATTTATTTATTTGGGGAGGGGGGTGAGGTAGAGGGAGAGAAAGAATCTCAAGCCGACTCTTTGCTGAGCGCAGAGCCCAATTCAGGGTTCGATCTCACAACCCTGAGATCATGACTTGAGCTGAAATCAAGAGTCAGATGCTTAACTGACTAAGCCACCCAGGCGCCCATACCCTGATGCATTTAATAGTTGGGGATGTTGGGGTTGAATTTAAGGGAGCCTCTCACATATCTGTTTCCTCTCACCATAGATCCAGGTTTCTTACTATGCCCCTGGACAGTATCCTAACTCCAACCAGCAATATCGACCTCTCTCTCACCCGGTGGCCTACAGCCCCCAACGTGGTCAACAGCTGCCTCAGCCATCCCAGCAGCCTGGTAAGAGGAACTGCTGGGGTAGGGAGGCAGTAAATAGAGGAAGGGCAGTGGAAGGTGCCCTCTCTTTCTCAGAGAGAAGTACCTTCCTTGTTAAAAAAAAAAAAAAAAAGGCAACAGGAATGATTAGTTCCAAGAGGGACCCAGGATCTCCAGAAAAAGAAAAGGTAAAATAGACAGGAGAAGGAAAATTACTGAGAGAGTGTAACCTCCTAAACATTATTGAGACCATGCTAATATCTTTTCTGCCTTGCCCGTCCCTAGGTTTACAGCCCATGATGCCTAACCAGCAGCAGGCGGCTTACCAAGGCATGATTGGGGTCCAGCAGCCACAGAACCAGGGCCTGCTCAGCAACCAGAGGAGCAGCATGGGGGGCCAGATGCAAGGCCTGGTGGTTCAGTACACTCCACTGCCTTCTTACCAAGTGGGTGCATTCTGCACTGGGAAAGATCACCCAGTCCTTGGGATGAGGAAAAGGAAGACAGTCTCCCACATCATCCAGTGTGACAACTCCAACACTAAAATACTGTTCACTTTCCCCCTAGAATTTGTAGGTGTTTTTCCTCTGAGAGAAAGCCCAGAGAGTCTGAGAAGATTGTCTTTATTTAAATTGTTTGGTCTTTATTCAGCCATGCAAATGAGTATATGGCCCAGAAAAGTAGGATCTAAAGGAAGTCAGGCTCCTTTCTCTACATCAGATGCCCGAGAGAGGTGTTTGGAGAAGAGGGAAGTGCAGAAAGCTCTGTACACATTTTATTTAGGCAGATGAGGAGAGTAGGAGGAGTCTCTACAGGTAGGGAAGGAAGTCAGTGTCCTGGTGTAGTGATGACTTATTTGGCCATTCTCTGGATGAGCTCATTGGGAGTACAAGTGGTCATTCTCTTCTTATCTCTACCCAGGTCCCAGTGGGTAATGACTCGCAAAATGTGGTCCAGCCGCCTTTCCAGCAACCCATGCTGGTCCCTGCGAGCCAATCTGTGCAAGGGGGCCTCCCAGCAGGGGGCGTACCGGTGTACTACAGCGTGATCCCACCGGCTCAGCAGAACGGTACGAGGTGAGGACTCCCAGAGAGTCGGGGCACATCTCCCATAGACCTTCAGCAGCTTTCCACTGACCTAAGAAAAGAAAGACAGGGGTAAAGATTCCAGTGGTGCCCTAAAGCAGGTAGAATGTGAGGGAGTTCATTCTTCTTTTCTCCTTGTTGTTTTGACATTTGAATAAGAGCTCATCAGCAGAAAAAAATTCGTACTCCAGAGACAGAGGCTTTATGATGTCCCCAGTGTTTTGTTTTTCTTATCAATGGGATTTAGAATTATGGGATAGAGACTGCTCATCATTAAAAGAAGCAATTTGGAGTGTATATATATATGTATATATACATATATATGTAAATTTTCCTATGTACCTCTGTTTATATCCATGGATGAATCTCAGATGGTCTATTTCTGTATGTCTATTTATATATATATTAGTATATGTCATAGCTGATAGAATTTTAGAGGTAGAAGCCACCTTAGAAATATTTAGTCCACTCCCCTTGTTTTATTTTTCTCCCTTTTATAAATGAGGAAATTCCAGCTAGGGAGATTAAGAAACTTACCCAAAGTCAACCAGCTAGTTAGAAGTAGAGCTGGAACTAGAAGTCAAGTCTGGGCCTACTTGTATGTATTTCTGTGTTGCTTGAAGTGTGTATGTTTACTTCTCTTTTTGTGTGTATGTCTCCATGTTATCTTGAGTATTGGGGCGGGGATTCCCCCTTTGTCTTTAGGTAACTCTGTTTGCCATTGTGTAAATATCCTAAATCAGACATCTCCTTAGTTCTGTTTTATCCATCTCTCTCTGGCACTGTGTGCCTGTTTCTGGCACTTCGTGTTTCTCAGAACGTGTGTGTGTGTGTGTGTGTGTGCGCACGTGTATGTGTCTGGTGTTTCAACACTGTTGGGAAGAAAGAGCCTGTGTCACTAACATTCCATCTGTAGCACTGATTAGCAGCTTCCTAATTGAAAGATGATCAAGTACAAATATATATAATTAACTTTGAACTGATGAGTGATTTTAGAAATTGCATGGCAAATTGGTCTGGGAATGACTGGCTGCTGCCTCTGCTTCCCACAGGGGAGGCCCGGCAAGCAGCAGCTGTTTGCCAGGAGCTGTGCTCCTCCCTCTCCCACTTTAACACTACTCTCTTCTCCATCCCCCAGCCCTTCTGTGGGGTTTCTGCAACCTCCCGGCTCTGAGCAGTACCAGATGCCTCAGTCTCCCTCTCCCTGCAGTCCACCACAGATGCCACAGCAGTACTCAGGTAAGAGGATAAAGAATTGGGAGGTGTTGGGTACCGGCAAGAGCAAACACTGCTGAAGGATTTGTGCTCTAGAGCTGGGAATGACAAGAGGGTTCAGGGATTGGCTCTGTCCCCAGCTGTAACACCACCACGAGGAAAGATCAGAGTCCTGACTGGTGTTTTCCAGGGGTGCTGAAGTTGACCTCTTGAGAGGTAAGGCTGGTTGCCCTATCTCCATCCCTGGGAAGCCACATCCTTGATTGGGTTCCTTGTTTTCTTTCTTTCTTATTTTTTTTTTCCTCCCTGTATCCAGCATTACGCTCACCACTCACATGCCTTTGAGACATGAAGTGCTTACCTCTGTCTCCTGCACTCATTCTTCCTATAGACAGCTTTACTTTTCTGTTGGGAGTGTGAGGGAGGCTGATAAAATGCTTTTTAAGTCATATCTTAGATTTGTTTGGCAGTTTTTCATATGTGCTCACATACATTGTATCATTTTAATTCTCAGCACAACTCTGTGAAGACAAGATTTAAGACTCAAAGAGGATAAATGACTTGCCTGAGGTCACGATCCTAGACCTTGAACTTGGGTCTTTTGCCTTTTCATAACCATCCTGCACCCTCAATATCATACTTCCAACAGGTCTCTGTACTCTGTTCCTTTCCCTCCAGTGGGAAATAAATGGCTATCATGTTCAATAGCTAAAGGCTTGCTTTGAAGGGGCAGCTGTCCCGTGAATAGGCTGATGCCATGCAGCGTCTCACTTTCTGCCTTTGCCAGGAATTCTCCCAACACACCAAGTACAGCTACCCTTGTTTGTCGCCCTTTCACCTCACCCTGGCACAGCATTACACTGCAGCTAAAGCAACTTCGGGGGTTCTCCAGTGGAGGACGTCTTAATGCAGTCTCCAGCCATCCCCATTTCCCTCTGTTGTGGGAATATCAGAGTGCCCTCTTCTGGTGAGAGGGAAATATTTTGACAGTTTTCCCCATTTTAGAAATAAGATTTTCACCTAGGAGTTTTTGCACTCTGTGTTAGATGCTGTGGAATGGATTCCAGAATTAATCTTGCTCATAAGACATGATCAGTTCTTACCTTCAAGGAGCAATGACTTCTCCCTTCATCCAGACCAAACATGGCTCTCTCACAGGCTGAGAGGTTTTAAATTCAACAGCCTTTACCCTTTATTACATTACTGGTCTCTCTAGCTGTTTCTCCTACTGTCCGCCGGGGGCACTTGACCTTGAAATTCCCAGTGGGATATGGAAATTGTAGAAACCAGCTCCAAGAACCACTGTAGCCTCTGGTGGTTCTTGCTCCTGCAGGGCATTTTCTCTCCTGTTTGTTAAAACAAGTGTGTGCATGTGCATATGGGTATACTTGTATGTGCATTTTTATGTGAATCCTTAGTGGTATCTCAGTGTATGTATTGGGTCTCTGTGGTTGTATCTCTTCATCTTCAAGTACAAGGTCTTAGAAACAAAGCAAGTGAGAAGAATTTTTCACTACCTACTCTGGACTTAGTGCTAGGTTAAGCAAACTGGAACAGCTATTGTTCTGAACGTTGGCAGCACTGGAGGTCTGGCCTGGGATTAGAAGGAGATCATCTGTGCTCTTCCCAAATCAATAGAAATGGAGGAAGCCCTCTTCATCATCTAGTTCCCTTACTTCTTTGGAATTTCCTGTTATATGTCTTTTCTTCCAAGCTTCCCTGATTGATTGATTCTAGACTTCTCTGACTGATCCCTTGTACTCTTCCTAGGTGATGGGACCCTATGTTCCAGCTGTGTCACCTAAGAGACCATATTCACCATATCATTGATTTTAAGTCTTCAGTCTCTGCTCATGGGAATATAAGAGGAGCTGGAAGGAAAAAAACAAGTGCTGCTTCTTCCTTCCTTTCCAGTTTGCCCTTTATTGGGAGGAGAGAAAGCCAGCATAGCCCACAAGGGCTGCTATCACCTTCAGAGGACAGTCACCCGCCCTTCTTCCATGTAGCAACATGGTCACTTTTCCAAAAATAAAGGCAGGGATTAAGATTGGCTGTTCCTGGAACAACTGTTCTGGCTTATTAATACATTTTTGTAGTTGTCCAGTTTACCCCCAGGCCTAGACCTTAATTCCTCCACTGTGCTATTAGACAGCACTATAACCCCAGGAAATACTTTTCTTCCCACTAAAATGATGGCCCACAGGTCCCTTGAGGTTACTCCAGAAGTGCGTGTCTGGGGAAGATGCACACAGATGTGAAATGGCAGTGATACATATACACAGACTCCCAGCTCACTGTGACACAGCACCATGGCCAGAGTGACGTATATACAGAAATAGCCTCTCACATACTTACTGGCTCATTTTGTAGCTGAGGGGATTCCAAAGCAGAAACGAACACTTTTCTCTCCCACTCCGTAAGGATACAACTTTCCTTCACCAAAAAAGGGGAAGAACACTAAGATACTGTTGGATTGTATCCTGTAATATGGGAAAGATTCCTGCGGATATTATTTCTCTGGACATTCCTTTCCGTAGATTTGATTCCTGGTGGTAAGGAAGAAGTCTTATCAGTCTTCTACCTCAGAGATTTAAAAAAAAAAAAAAAACTAAACAAAAACCAATTCTGCTAGACATAAATGTCATCTGTTTGTATTTATGCGGTTTGCTCTGCCCAATCGACCTTTCTGCCCCGGTTTAATGATGCCACTTAAAAAGCCATTCACACGTCCCCTCTCCTTTCAGAACTTTCAGGCTGAAATTGATTTCCTTATTCAACCCCCCTCTCCCCCTTCCCGCTTCAACCGAGGCCCCTTTCCCCAACCTGATTATATGGAACTGCTGTCCCTGGGTAGTGGGGTGGTTTTTCTCTTCTCTTCTCTTTTCTTTCTTTCTTTTTTTTTTTTTATTGCCACATCCATTAAGAAGTAGCGACAGTTTAGCTATTAACGGATGCCACCTGCTTTCGGCTTGAGGAAGAGAAGCATAAAAATCAGCTCATCAGCGTAGTGCTCTGTGTCCCGGCTGAGTGAAGGAACAATGCGCCAGGCCAGCGGGGGAGGGCTCAGTGTGGGGAGGACCAAGGCTGGGACTGAAAACCCTGGCTTTGTTTTTGTCGGGATCAGAGAAAATAATATGAGGACTTTGTTCTCTTTCCCCCTCCCCTTGAGCCCTCTAATAGCTCCTTATGGCTACATGTTGATATTAGAAAGAGCTTCCACCATTTTCCTTAAATGCCCACACCCTACACACTCACATGTCCCCCCCATCCTTTCCTGGCCTGAGGCACTAGGCTCAGATTATGAGCTGCCTTCTAGAAAGCCGTAGATTTGATTATTTTTGCGTTGGCCCCCTCGGGTAGCAATGAGGTGTTTGAATAAGGTCAATTGTAATTTTGTTGGAAGAGGATGTTGGAGCAGGTGGGGCTCTTTGGATGGGGAAAGAAAATGCCCAGAGCAGCTATAGTAAGGGGGGAGTTGTTAAATGTATGACACTCCACAGCTATTTGATTTTCTGGTGGCCCTTCCACAAGCCATGCTGACGAATACCCTGTCCCCTGTGGCAGAGGATGGGGAGAGGCGAGCCTGTCACTCTGAGTATTTGTGCTCTCTGATTAGATGGACCCCAGAGGGTGGGGGCCACAAATTGGAGAATAGGGTACGACAGATGCTGTGTCTCCCAAGCTGCCCTCTGAGGCCTCCTGCTGCTGCTTTTCCTTCCCTTTGACTGGCGCTACCTGAGAAAAGCAGTCACGCTCACTTCCCAGCATGACCGGTGCCCAGGGCAGAGGCTGCAGCATTTCCCGTCCCAGGAAGCAATGTGACGGCGGCAGCCAGTGGCAACCTCAGAGCACCGAGCCGTGACAACGGCAGCACTGTGGCAGGTTTTCGCGCTAGCCACCCCCAGTCCCGTTTCTCTCCCACCACACACACACGGACTCAGCCTGTCCCTCAACGGAGATCTAGCCTGAGAGGTCAGGAGCAAATGCTCAGGCTGGACAGTCCCCTGTGGGGAAGCAGAGCTCCTGCCCATCCCTTCCAGCAGGGACTGTCGTTCAGACTGCTTCTCCCTGATCCCTTACCTTGCCTTTCACCATGAGGAAGATTCAGGACTTAATGTTCTTCCACATTGAGCTCTTCGCTGCCCCCGGCCTGTGAGAGGGTAAGGCTACCCATGGTTGTTTGTGCTAAAACCTCAGGCTCACATCCAGTCACCTGAACCTGTCAGCGAAACCTTCAGAGAGTCTGACCCTCCCACTCGATTCCCGCCGTCACTGCTCTAATTCAAAACCTCCTCGTTCTTTTTTCTGTAGAGGCTTTCCAATTCATGTTTCTGCCTCTGGTCCCTCCCTCTCTTCAGCCATTTTACTTCCGGCCTCTTGAATTAGCTCTCTGAAGTTCTGTTCCCAACACCTACAGGATAAAGGCCCTTACGAGAACGTGCTTCAAATTCTGACACCAGCTGTTTGCTTAATGTGTGACTCCCCGATAGACTGTCCATCCCGCAAGGGCAAGGACTACTTTTGTTTGTTGTACACCCAGTGCCCAGCATAGGAACTGGCACCTAGTAAATGTTCAATAAATGCTGAATAAATGAATGAACATATCTCATCTCCCACTTCCCCTACACAACCCCTGTGCCTCAGCACCTTGAATTATTTGTCATTTCCTGAATGTGACGTACAGCTCCATGCCATTCCCAATTCAAGTGCTTCCTGGCCTGGCTTAGGGAAGCTGTGTGCATTCATCTCCAGAGCAACCAGAGAGATCGCTGACCTATCTGCAGCCATTACCAGAAAAGCCTGCACGTGCCTACGGCCCTGGCCCAAGCCCCAGGCTGGGACCTGTACCATGCCCAGACAGTTAAGCAATCTGACCTGGGCATTTGGTAATACCTGATTTTGACAAATGGAGTAGTTTTCTGCCAAGCATACCAGGCACCCCTCACCAGGTCAAGGCCACGAGAGCATTGGCATCTGGGACCCATGTCTCTTCCACTCAAACTTTCACTAGTTTGGGGAGAGGGGAGTCACACTAAATCAGCAACTATCTCAGATTCCTGGCAAGACACAGTTTAAGTGACCCTGAGGCGAGTGGGTTGATTGCTTACTGACTTTCACACTCAGGGTTAGTTGGAAGGTCAAAATATAGTCTGAATTCACAACTGATCCCTTTCTTCCTGCCACTCAGGAGTGTCACCTTCTGGACCAGGTGTGGTGGTCATGCAGCTGAATGTCCCTAATGGACCCCAGCCCCCCCAGAACCCATCCATGGTCCAGTGGAGTCACTGTAAATATTACAGCATGGACCAGCGTGGGCAGAAACCTGGAGACCTATACAATCCTGACAGTAGCCCCCAGGTGAGTGCTGCAACCCAACATTATCTTGGCAAGGAGGAGACCAGATTTTTCTCGGGGAATAATCTTTGCCATTGACTGAGCAGCCTCTTCTACTTGTCTTTCCATGGGCACTCTTCAGGGGGGAATCATAAGAGATAGAGGAGAGTATCTGCTTTCAAGGAACCTAAGATCTAAGGGACACATACTTGGAAATGCCAAGAGAATACTTAAAACACTATGTCAAAAAGTGGATGTTAGGGCACCTGGGTGGCTCAGTTGGTTAAGCGACTGCCTTCGGCTCAGGTCATGATCCTGGAGTCCCGGGATCAAGTCCCGCATTGGGCTCCCTGCTCGGTGGGGAGTCTGCTTCTCCCTCTGACCCTCCTCCCTCTCGTGCTCTCTGTCTCTCATTCTCTCTCTCTCAAATAAATAAATAAAATCTTAAAAAAAAAAAAAGTGGATGTTAAAATAATACAAATTGGGGCACCTGGGTGACTCAGTCCATTAAGCGTCCGACTCTTGATTTTGGCTCAGGTCATGATCTCAGGGTCGTGGGGCTCTGAGCTCAGCAGGGAGTCTGCCTTGAAATTCTGTACTTCTCTCCCTGTCCTTCTCCCTCTGCTCCTCGCCCCCCCCCCCGCCAACGCTCACTCTGTCTCTCTCTAAAATAAATAAATCTTTTAACTAAATACATTAATTAATTAATATAAATTAATTAGGGACTAAGGGGGCTGTTGGAAGGAGCAGTCTGACTTTGACAGAGTTCTGCAAGAGAAGTTTTCTGAGCGAGGTGAATTTTAAGCCAAGCCATAGGAATATCCAGAGGGTCATGTTTGGTGTACATATGATGTGTGCTCCTCTCTCCCACAGGCCAACACTCAGATGAGCAGCAGCCCTGTCACGTCTCCTACCCAGTCTCCAGCACCCTCTCCTGTCACCAGCCTCAGCAGTGTCTGCACAGGACTCAGTCCCCTTCCTGTCCTCACACAGTTCCCCAGGCCTGGGGGTCCAGCACAGGGTAAGGGGTTAGATTAGGGCTGGCTGCTGCCCTTCACAGCCCATTCCCAAGTGGGAAGATCCAGATGGTAGCAATAGGCAGGAAACCAGTGTGGCCTGGTCATCCAGCTCTCGGAGCCAACTCTTCCTTTAATATCCCTGTTTAGGCCAAGGACACCTGCCCCTCTTTAGTGCTGCCCATAGTCAGCTTACTGCAGACCTCCTTTACATATTTAGTATTTACTACCAAGTCTACAAGGTCAGGGACTGTGAACCCAGGAAAGAAACTTTCTAACGAACCTAAGAGTTTAACTCATCAGTACTGAGTCTGAGGGCTGAGACTATGGGGCTGTGTCAGAAACAGTGTGGTTTTAGAAGAGAGGACAGTGGAGTTGGGTTGAAAGACTTGGGTTAAAGTTCATGTTCTACCACTAATTAGCTTTGTGATGTTGAGCATGTTACTTAACCTTGGAACAAGGCCTCAGTTTCCAAATCTATAAAATGGGATTAATCACATATAAGATGGAAATAATATTATCTGTTTCTGCCTTGGCTGTCACAAGCAGTATTAAAAATCAGATGAGAATATGGTTTAAAAACTAAAGTGCTCTGAAATCTAACATTTATCAACAATAAAGTAACATTTATGGTGCTTACTGTGTATAAAGCATTACTATAAGTGCTTTCTGTGTCTTGTATTCACTCAACCTTCAACACTGATGAAGGAAAATGTACCCAACCTCTCATTTCCAGTAACAGAGCCAGGATTTGAACCTCGGCGGTTTGGCTCTAAGCCTGTGCTCTTACCCACTCACTGTATTGCCACTCAACAGGAGTTAGAAACTTGAGCCCTAGGTTTGGGGTCGGAGAATCTATGTAAGAAATTAGGGGAACCAGGCTGGCTCAGTCGGTAAAGCATGTGACTCTTGATCTCAGGGTTGTGAGCTCAAGCTCCATGTTGGGCATAGAGATTACTTAAAAAGAAAGAGAGAGAGAGAGGGAGGAAGGGAGGGAAGGAAGGAAGGAAGGAAATGAATGAATGAATGAATGAATGAATGAATGAATGAATGAAAAACATTTATAAGGGTCTGTAGGTTTCCTCCAGGGCCTTTCATCTGCAGTGGACAGAGCCCTTCTTCAAGGGTGAGGGAACCTAAAAGCCCCATTTGCCTGAAATACCTAGGCCGAGAGCCAAGGAGTTTAGGAAGAGAGACAACTTTTCAGTCAGGCACATGGGCACTCCTATCATAGAAAAAGTGGGAAAAGTATGCATTGTTGTCATCTATCTCCAGAGCCCCCATAAAAGTCATATCATGAAGTTCTAACTCCCAGAAAACCATCTGTTTTTCCTCCCTAGGTGATGGGCGCTACTCCCTCTTGGGCCAGCCATTACAGTATAATCTGTCTATCTGCCCTCCCTTGCTCCATGGCCAGTCGACTTACACGGTACACCAGGTAAGGGTGTCCACCAACAGACCCCTCTTCTCATCCAGGCCCCTAGCTCTGAGCCATCCACCTCAACCAGTGGGGTAGACCGGGGAGATAGCACAGTGAGAATGAATAAAGTGGGAGGGGCCTTACCCTTCTAGCATACTCATTCTTCCCACCTGACCCCAGTGCCAAGGGGGAAGGACTCTGTTTCTCAGTGGCCACTCTGGCCAGTCTGCCTGCCTGGTGGGGCAGGATCCTCAGGGTTGGGTGCTGCTCCTTAATCTTTCAGACAGACATTAGGATGCAAGGCAGTCAATGTTGTTTACCTGGGATGAGAGTTATCTTTCAAATGTTGAAGGGACAGAGTGGATTGAAGCATGGAAACCGGAGCAAGAGACAAGCACTCAAATCTGCCTCCACTGACCTGGGGACAACAGATGTTGGTGAGTGACAAAATGCTGAATCCCCAAGAGAAGGTGCTCACCCCTCCAGCCTGCATTACCAGCCCAGGAGGAGTGAGAAAAGCCAGCTTAGGGTGGGGAGTAGAAATAGGACCCTTCTGTACTCAAGAGCAAGGAGAAACTGGAGAATTGAAGCATCTCAGTCCTCCTTATCAGGCCATTTCAGGTCCTGGGAAAGGCGATGGGAAAAACTGAGTATAACACAGTGGCGGGGGATGCTGAGCCTATTAACAGGAGAGTCTTATGAGAGTGGTCCTGACCCTAATCTAGGATGTCTGCCTTGGTAGTCTTCCTAGTCCTTTAGGAGAAGCTTGACAAGAGAACATGGGGGAGTAACCCCCCTGCAGGCCTTCCCCACTAAGCATTACCCTTACTTGGAGTGGTTTGCTAAACAAGGAAAGGCAGGGAAATGGACTTCCCTAGATGAGAAGGAAGAGGGATCTCTGGGAAGGGGATGACTGTGGGATATATTTCAGATTGGGCTACTGACTTGGCACAAGAACTGAGGTGTAGGTCTCCAGATCTGAAGAAATCTGGGATTCTGACCCCCAGTTTCTTCTTAGTCTAAGAGAAGAAAAAGGTTTTTTTGTTTCTCCTAGCTGCCTAGATGGTGGGGTGTTGCATTGATTTGGGGAAGGAGGAATGGGCCAAGTGGGCAAGGCCAGGCTTTTGAGGACGCCGTCTATAGACTTGGGTCAGCTGCAGACTTCTCTGCTGCCTGCTTGCTATTCTTCTCACAACCATGTCCTCTCTCCTCCCCTTTCAGTCCTGGGCCGGGTGCTGGAGGTGACAGATCTCCCTGAGGGCATCACTCGGACCGAGGCGGACAAACTCTTCACTCAGCTTGCCATGTCTGGCGCCAAGATCCAATGGCTCAAAGATGCTCAGGGGCTGCCTGGCGGGGGCGGGGGGGACAACAGTGGGACTGCTGAGAATGGCCGCCACGCGGACCTCGCTGCCTTGTACACCATCGTGGCTGTGTTTCCCAGCCCCCTGGCTGCCCAGAATGCCTCTCTTCGCCTCAACAACTCTGTGAGTCGCTTCAAACTTCGAGTGGCCAAAAAGAACTATGACCTGAGGATCCTGGAGCGAGCCAGCTCCCAATAAACGGAGGAGGGGAAGGGACCGGCACAGTAGGGGTGGGGGCAGGGTGGAGGGGGTCGAGGGATCCTGACAGATCACAGACAGAGGCAGAAAGGAAGGTGACAGACACTGAACTGGAGCCTGAGACAGTGGGGATGAAGATGGAACAGACACACTGGCACTGGACTCCTCCTTGCTCCCCTGCCATGGGTCCCCTCATTTTCCCCTGGTTGGCCCCCCTTGCTTCCCTCTCCTTCCCATCCTCTTCTGTCATTTTTTATCTCTTCTCCCACCATGAAATTAATTTTTTTCATATTTTTTTGGTCAGGTAGAATTGGGAGGGTCCCACACTCCCCTATTCGATCTCCTTACCATCCCAAGCTCCCTTTTCATTTCTGGTCTTTATGAATATATTTATATGGACAGAATTAAGAAAAGCAAAATTGATTTCCCCTTTCTCTCACTTCCCCCATCTTGTCTCCCCAAACCCCAAAGAGTTAAAACTTGGGCCTCCCCCCACCTCCCAGAACACTTGTATATTGTTTGTTTGAGGTTCGTGCCGCAGTAACAGACAGTATTTAATTGCACATACAGATGTTTGCTGGGTATATTCACTGTAAATTTTATTTAATCTGATTTTTTGTTTGTTTGGGGGGTTACTTGGGGGGAGGTTGATTTTGTTTTTAAATATAAAAAAAAAAAAATCTGTCACTGGACGTCAGTCCCTGTTTCTCTGTTGCTGCCCTGGTATGGGTGGGGGTTGGAGGTCCTGGGTAGGTACAGTTCCACAGCTGTTGGAGGGATCTCATATAGGTTGGGATGGCTTTCCCTAGCATATGCACACATACCTTCCTAACACTATTCCCTCATCCCATTCTCCTCCTTGGACATAATATTCGGACAGGTGGCTGGGTCTCCAATGGGACCTTTATTCTGGGCTCTCCCAACTCCCAACTCCCAGTAAGTGTGGTTTCATCAAACACATCCATTCTCAACTCCAGACCTCTGAGTCCTTATTAGTAAAATAAGAGACTTGGACTAACTAGCTTACCTCTGAGGTTCCTTCCACTATGTTAATTCTGTGATACTCATTTAGGGTCCTCACGGCTGTCTGGGGAGGGGTGAGTGAGGTCCAAAACTGGGTTGAGATGGTGGCCTCATACGTGTCCAGAATCTGATCTTCTGAAAACGTTTCAGGGCTGGAGGACTTGGGCCTGTCTTTAATACAAAAGCCATTGAATGTTGCGTAGCAGAACAGAAGTGGATGTTATAATAAAAGCTACATCAGTTGAACTTGCAGTGCCAAGATGCCATATTATCCAGGCATGCTCAGCAGTCCTTGTCCTATGCAACTGAAGAAAGGTGAAAAGCAGACATTCCCTACCCCGCATGGACGGAGCTTTTCCTCACTCTGCAGCTTCTCAAAGCTAGCCCTGTTGTGCAGCCTGTCAGACCAGGGCCATTAAGAGCCATCCAGCAGCCCCTATTCAATCTCACCCACCCCTTAAAGAAAGAAAAAGAGTAGTGACAGAAATGACAAAGCAATGACCCTGGAAATCTCTTGGGTTTGGGTAGCAGTATCTCTAGCCAGGCTCCTCTGAGGCTTGTCTGACCCAACCTCCAATGTAATCCTTTACTTCTTACAGATACAAGGGATAAAGCAGCACTACATGACCACATCCAAATGGCTGTCCTCCGAGATGGGAGTGTCTTCTCTTTCAGCCATGTCACAGTCCAGAGTAGGAGAAGGCTGCATCCCTGCGAGATAAGAGAATGCCAGATACCTCACTGACCCATAAGTTCATATACCAGGGCATCAGATGAGGGAGATGGAATCAGGGAATCCAAATGATTTCGCAAGTGTGGGGCATGGCTATCTTACCTCCAAAAGTTTGCAGTCCTTGTGGGGAGACCGACATTACTTAGAGAAGATAACCCGCCCCCACCGTGTGGTAGCTATTGTCTTCTGTCCAGTGGGAACGAGACCATCTCTACCCTGACCATCAGACCCACACTCCCCCAGAGTCCCTCAGACAGAAGTCCCAGCCTGGATTTTTTCAGTAGCTCTTAGATTTCCCTTCACCCTGAGGACAAGATTTTAGAAAGGGGGTGGGGGGATGTTCCTGGGGGCACTGGAGGGAATAAAGCAGTACTATGCATGTTCTTCACTCCCTTTCAGGATGGCAGCGAGGTACCCCTCCAACTATCCATGGATAAGGATGCAATCTAGTCTGGCTGATAGGAGGCCTCTGAGAACTGAAATTCTCCTTTCTTCACCAGTTCCCGGCCCTTTCCTTCCTAAAGGTTTGAGGTAGAGGTAGATCAATGTTTAAGGGAGTAAAAACACATGGCCGCAGGAAAGACAATGGCTAAAAAATCAAAAGCTAGTTCCTAAAGTAGGTCCAGGGAAGGTAGAATTGGAGAGGTGTTTGGACCTTGGGGAAAGCTGTTTACAATTTCATCTTTACCTTCAGTCATCCAAAATCACCTAAATGAGTATGCAGCATGAACAGACACTGTCCCTTCTTGAATTTAGCTAGAACTGACCTGTACACCATAGATAAAAAACCAGGGTATAGTAGCTCTGGGGGATGGGAGGAATTAGGGTCCAGCCCAGCCCAGACCTCCCCGTGTCCAATTTCTCTGTGTCAGCTGTGTCGCTCAGCTGTCCACTTTCCTCCAGCCCTGTCATTTCAGCTCTGACACCAAGGCGAGCGACTGGGAGGCTACAAATAACGTCTGGGTAGCCGGTGTGAGTACAGAGGGTACTGGGGGGGCTTAGCCCCCAAGGAAGAGGACCAGTCTTCCCCCAGCACCACCATCAAGACCCCAGGGGCTCCCTCTTCCCTCCACAGACTGTGGACTGACTTAGGGAATCCCAAACGTAAGTTGCCTCTTCATCCTCTGCCCATTGCCAGAACTGCTCCCCGCAGATTCCCCAATCTGTAGCCTATTCAGTGTCTTCGTTCCTCTCTTGCCTGTGAGTAGTTAGGGTTTTAGGAGTGAAATTACGACTCCAGGACAAGAGCTAGGATTGGAGGGTGGGGTGGGGGTGGTGTCAAGGGAATGGAGTAGTAAGGGAAGGAAAGGCTCATCTTACTCTGAAAACTTAAAATAGCTGAGGACTGAAGCAGGCTGGGAACTAGGCCCCGGGCCCCCGGGACTCAAGAAAGGGGCTGGGGTGAACAAATGTCCCCAGCCCATCCCTCCAAGCATGCTTCTGGACACACACATTAAACCTCTTGAAGAAAGGGGATCTGGGAAGATGTGTGTCACATCTCTCTTGCCCACAGATTCCCAGGAGAAACAAACTAGGAAAATCCCTAAACCATGCAGCTTTGAGCACTGTGTTGGGGCTGGAAACTCGGGTGGCCCCGTAGGGCAGGGAAGGATGTGCATCAGTTTGAGGAACCGGTTGGGAAGTTCTTTGGTCTGTTGCGCTTTTCTCTGGGCCTCCATGGAATCTTTCTGTCGATAAGCCTGTGAAAGGATTTCTGTTTAACCAAATTTCTCCCAAAGTCTCCCATTCAAGGACCACCCTACGGTGAGGGACAGGAATTAGGACAGGGACAAGGACAGGGAAGAATGGCAGGGATTAGATTTCATAGTGGGGTCCAACCTCTTGCAGGATGACAGAAAAGGAGGTGCTGGAGTCCCCTAAGCCCTCCTTGCCAGCAAAGACTCGGCAAAGTAGGGTGAGTCTGGACCTGTGATCACCGGTGTGGGGAGCTGGGAAGCCACCGCAGCCCTTGAATGTTTGAATTGATCTCACTTGTATGTGACTCATCCATCGTCGGAATGCTAGCCAGCACCTGCAGCCCCCAATATCTCCTAATCCTGGGGTGTGCCCCTTGCCCACGCTAGAAAAATGTTTAGTTAGCTTCAGCCTTACCTGCTGTAGAGAGTATGACAGTTCTTTTAACTTTGGGTTTCCTCCCCTCCCCCATCCCCACCCTCAGCTACAGCGGCTGAAGCAGTTATTCAGGAAGGAGCCTCCGGGGACAAAGGAGATGGAGCTTCCCCCAGAGCCCCAGGCCAATGGGGAGGCAGTGGGAGCTGGGGGTGGGCCCATCTACTACATCTATGAGGAAGAGGAGGAAGAAGAGGAGGAGGAGGAGGAACCACCCCCAGAACCTCCTAAGCTTGTCAATGACAAGCCTCACAAATTCAAAGATCACTTCTTCAAGAAGCCCAAGTTCTGTGATGTCTGTGCCCGGATGATTGTGCGTGAGTCACGAAGGGAAGTGGAGAGAGTGTGATGTTGGAGGCGGGGGGTGGGGGGGGTGGGGGGTACAGGCTCAGGAGAGGAGCATTTGTATAGCAGGCAGGCTGGGGCAAGAGGTGGCTTTAAGAAAACACTATTAGAGGGGCGCCTGGGGGGCTCAGTCAGTTAAGCATCCGACTCTTGATTTCAGCTCAGGTTGCAATCTCAGGGTCTTGAGTTCGAGCCCATAGGGCTCTGTGCTCAGCAGGGAACTGCTTGTCCCTTTCCCTCTGTTCCTTCCCTGCTTGTGCACTCTCTCTCTCAAATAGATAATCTTTAAAAAATAAAAACAACACTATTAGAAACTGAGAGTATTGGGTCCTAGACAGAAAAGGGACCTGAGAGCTAGAGTAGCAGCACTGGTACAAAGGGAAGGGGAAATCAAGAACCTCACCCAAATGTTCTTCCCTCTCCCAAGTCAACAACAAATTTGGGCTCCGCTGTAAGAACTGCAAAACTAACATCCATGAACACTGTCAGTCCTATGTGGAGATGCAGAGATGCTTCGGCAAGATCGTGAGTAGGCTCTGGGAAGCGAGAAAGTAGAAGGGAGGGGACGTGTTGCCAGCACCCCCCTTCCAGTCCCTCCCAAGTCATCACTTCCATTTCCCTGCTTTTTCTTTCTCAGCCCATCTCTTACTCTAAGAAGGGGCTGCACTCATGGGAGAGATGGGGTTCTGGGCCATACCTTGCTGTCTCTAATGCTTTCTCCCATCCCATCCTACAGCCCCCTGGTTTCCATCGGGCCTATAGCTCCCCACTCTACAGCAACCAGCAGTACGCTTGTGTCAAAGATCTCTGTAAGTGCTCCATGTGGGACCCAAGGGAAAGGGCAAGCCTAGAGATGGGTCCAGCACCACCTCTAGATTTGGAAGCTAAATTCTGAAACAAAGATTCTGTTTCCCATGGTTCTCTCTAAACCTAATATTTTAGCCAATTTGAATACAGAGTCAATATTCCTGTTTTAATAGCTGAGGGAGATAAGATTTAGCAAGGGCTCTATATGTCTAACAGGAGACCGAGACAAGACTGAAACCTTCATCTGCCTAGCTTCAAAATCTGGGCTCTTCCTCTGTAAAACTATTTCTAAGCAAGAACAAGGATTCTTGACTGTCCTCCTCCTTGTTACAGAGTAATACTAGTCTCAGGGCTAGACCAAGAGCTGTGGGCTTCCTGGGCAGATTCATAATTCAGCAACCCTTACAAATTCGTTGACAATTTACTCAACGCTTATTTGGAGGAGAGGCTGAACTTTATGAGGAGCATGGGTGGAAAAAGGAAGAACCCACTGGTGGCAGCACCCCAGCTTGCACATGCCACTCAGTGGAACAAAAAAACCAGCAGTTAAAGGACCACTCTCCCTAGAAGGAGAATAGTGATTGTGAGCATCCCCCAACTCCCAAGCAACTTAGTAGCAAGGTTGTCTTTCCAACATCATAAAATGCTCTGCCTGGAAGCAGTGCTGGTATTTTTCTCCATCACATTACATTTCCAGTGATGTTTTTAGAGCTCTTTATAGATTGATGACCTGGATAGGCCCAGCTGACCCTACCCTAATTACACACACACACACACACACACACACACATGCGCGCACGTATCCATCTACTCGACCCCACCTCTCCCTTACTTAGGTCTCTCTTTCCTCCAGCTCTTTCTCTGCTTCCCCAGTAATGGCTTCTTTCTTCTTCCCATTCCCACTAGCTGCTGCCAATCACAATGATCCTGTGTTTGAAACCCTGCGCACTGGGGTGATCATGGCAAACAAGGAACGGAAGAAGGGCCAGGCAGATAAGAAAAATGTGAGCACCATATTTTCCTCCTGAGGTCCCTCCGAGAAATTCCATTGAGCAGTGGGTCCTGTCTCCTCTCTGGAAAACTGATAGAAGCTAGGGATTCTCTTCCCCTAAAATCGCACATAACCCAACAGACACATTTTTGCATGCAATATTAGAGGGCCTCAGGTTGAGAACTCCCGCCATAGCATGTATTTTCTTCAGAAACTCCCTTCTGGAATTGTCAGATTAAGTACCATACCCCACTGAGGTCTGGGTCCCAGGCCCCCGGCATTGCTGGACAACAGAGGCAAGAGCCATACTTTTGGATTTGGGGAAGCAAACCTATCATGCCAAGTAATCAGAATTCTAGAGCCATGAAGGGTCCATGCATATCATCTAGTCTAACTCATTTATCCTATAGATGAGGAAACTGAGGCCCCAGACTAGCGGCCAAAAGCAACTTCATTTCTTTTTGAAATAGAGTTACTAGATTGGTAATGCCATAGACTTGCATTCAGTTTGGCAAAGAATTTGTTAGCATATCCTTACATCTTTCTGGACCACCAGGATGGACTGATATGATTAACAGTTAGATGGAGTCCTAAAATTGGATGAATGACTGTGCCCAAAGGATCCAGGTCCTGTAGGGAGTGTCTAGCTCGAGGGAGATTTCTGATACCTTATAACATGATTTGGTCCTCGGTCCTCACCTATGGAGATTTTTCTCACGGATGCAAATGAAAATATAAATGGTATTATCCCTTAAGTTTGTGGTAAACCTAGGAAGGAAAACTTATACACTGAACAGTATATTCAGATATCTTATGGACTAGAAGAAAAGCCCAAAACCAATAATTTGAAATTTTGTAAGGAAAAATGTACATGTCTGTTCTTGGATCAAAAATATCAACCATACAAAAACAGAACTAGGGATTGGCCTCAGAGTAGTTGATATGGAGGTTGGGTACAAATTAAGAGATTTCTGTAGAATGAACTATGATTTACAAGGCCATAGCCATGGGATTTGACTGCTTCCAGAAAGGCAAGCACACTCAGGTTCTATTCTCTTAAGGGAATTATAAAAACTGTGCTGCCCATTTTTCTCTTACACACTAGAGTATTTTTAAGAACAGATGTAGTAAAAATCCTGGAATCGGCATCATGGGGAAGGGAGTGATTTAAAGGGATTAATTAAGGAAGAAAAGACAGGAGGGACTTACCAGCTATCCTCAGATCTTTAAGGGGACTATGTTTGTTCTATATTGCTCCAGAGGCCAATTCAGGACCAATTACTGAAAGTTACAGGGAGACCGAATAGGTTTAATTTAGGGAATTGCCCTCAAATGGCATGGGCTTACTTTGTAAGGTAGTGAGTTTCTTGTCATTAGCTACATTCAAGCACAAATGTGGATGGTCCACCTGCCAGGGTGTTTTACAGGAAGCTCAGGCATTAGGCTGGTGGTTGAACTAGGTATTTCCTCCAAGGCTTCTTCCAAACCTGAGATCCTATTATTCTGTAGTTGGCTGGCCTGGCTGGAGAGCCAGGGCAAGTGTGGGTTCCCAGGAGAGCATCTTCCTAACTCTGGTACCCCCTCCAGCCTCTAGCAGCCATGATGGAAGAAGAGCCAGAGTCTGCCAGACCAGAGGAAGGCAAACCCCAGGATGGTGAGTGTCACCCACCTCCATCCCTAGAGAGGGAGTAGGGTCAGGGACTCTGCTGTGGTACAGGGGATGGAGGGCCAAAGGGCATGCCAGGTTTGGAGATCAAAGAGGCTCTGCAACAGAAGAGTAAAAGAATGAGGGCTACCCTCCAGAAGCTAGAGACAACTTGTCGGTGTTTCCCATCCCAGGAAACCCTGAAGGGAATAAGAAGGCTGAAAAGAAGACACCTGATGACAAAGTGAGACTCCTTTCTCCCTGCAGGGACCCCAGTCCTCTCCCCAACCCAGGTCTGACACCACTCATGGCCTCAGCAGAAGCTCACACTTACTCCATGACTTCCCATCACCCTTAACCTGCCTTCTCCACCACCTCACACACATGTGCGTGAGCATGCATGCACGCAACAGAATCCTCTTAGTTCAGGGACCTGGAAGAGAGCTGTAATGTAGTATGTCTGGAGAATGCCCCTGCCTTGGACTCCTGCCCCTCAATGTGGGACAGAGGAGTCCGAGACTCATCACCTCCTTTCACCCCCAGCACAAGCAGCCTGGCTTCCAGCAGTCTCATTACTTTGTGGCTCTGTATCGGTTCAAAGCCCTGGAGAAGGACGATCTGGATTTCCCGTGAGAGGCCTTAGGACTGGGATGGGGGTGTACCGGGAGTGGAGAGGGGAGAGCCTGGCTCCCTATGGGAAAGGAAAAGGGGGCACTCATGGCTTGGAGCCTGTTGGGGCTGGACCTGGGCCAGATAGGTAAGTAAGCCCCCTAAATCTCAGAGGCCTCTCCCTTCCTCTCCCAGGCCTGGAGAGAAGATCACAGTCATTGATGACTCCAATGAGGAGTGGTGGCGGGTAAGAGAAATGGCTGAGGCTAGGGTGGGACATCATTTGACTTTAGAATCAGACTGAGACTGATTCTCCCTACCATCTCCTCCAGGGGAAAATAGGGGAGAAGGTTGGATTTTTCCCTCCAAACTTCATCATTCGGGTCCGGTCTGGAGAGCGTGTGCATCGTGTGACCAGATCCTTCGTGGGAAACCGTGAAATAGGGCAGATCACTCTCAAGAAGGACCAGGTAGGGGTGCCTGGGTGGCACAGTGGGTTCAGCAACCGCCTCTAGGTTTCTCAGCTCGTGATCTCAGGGTGGGAAGATTGAGCCCTGTGTGGACTCTGTGCTTAGGGTGGAGTCACCTGAGATTCTTTCTCTCTCTCCCTCTGCCCTTCCTGCTTGTGTTCTCTTTCTCTAAAATAAATAAATAAAATCTTTAAAATATATAAAATAAATATAGATAGATAGATAGATAGATAGATAGATAGATAGATAGATAGATAGATAGATAGATAAAGGACCAGGTAGCTCTGGCGCCCCAATCCAACCCCAGGCCCCAGGGTTCCTTGGCAAACCATACTCCTTGCAGATCTTAACTCATTAATGGGGCTAGGATAGACCTCCATGAATCCGGGCTCCCCTGCTCTCCTCTTCTACCTTTTCCCTTAATCCCTCTCCTATCTAAACCTTTAATCCTTCATTCAGATCGTGGTCCAGAAAGGAGATGAAGCCGGCGGCTACGTCAAGGTCTACACCGGCCGCAAGGTGGGGCTGTTCCCCACCGACTTCCTGGAGGAGATTTAGGCGTGCAGGAGCCTGCTGACGGGAGATACCCATGCCCCATTCTGGGCAGGCCCAGTGGAGGTTGGGGAGGAAAGGGGCGAAAGCAACTATGCTGGATGGGGGAGGGGTGGGAAAGCCCGGCGCAGCATGGCGGGGCTTCCAGGAAGGGACTGGTTCCCGCCCCCCTCCCCCGGCCTCGGGCCTTGGATACCCGCTAGGCAGAGCAGCCTCACCTGCAACTCCTCAGGCCCCTCCCGCGCGAGCTGGAAAAAGAACGCGTCCCCACTAGGAGGCGCCCCGGGGGTGTGGGAGGCGAACTGTCGAACGCTGCGAATGTATTAAAGTTTTGAAAAAAGTTAGAAAAGTTTGTTCTTTAACTAGGGGCCGAGTAGAGGGAAGCGGTGGAGAATCCTCCCCAGCTATGTCACCTCACCAGCATCAGGTAACCCGACATCCACCTGGGCTGAGGCCGGTGGGAGGTGAGGAGACAGGTGCGTCCGCCAGGCGAGGCCTCTGTTGTCAGTGAAGAAAGGGGAGCCTGACTGCAGTCAGGCCCCCGCGCCCCGGCGTCTAGAAGGACCTGGCACCAGAGTAGGTCCCCCTAGCTCTTGGCGATTTAGCCGCGAGCAGCCCCCCTTACATTTCGGAACCTGGCTCAGTGCCGAGCTAGGCCGCCAGGGGGCGATGCAAGATCTCGGTTGGAGAGCGAGGGACGGGGCGGGGGGAAGGGGGGGCGGAAGGATAGAACCTGAGACACCGTGCCGGAGACCCTGGGCCTGGGAGGGGGTGAGGTGCGTGCCGTCTCCATGGCAACACTTCCTCAAGTCCTCTGGGAACCAGCGAGCGAGGCCGGGGGGCCTAACCCCTCCCGCACGGCCCCCGCCCCAGCCCTTTGCGACAGGTACCGAGTGAGAGGGCGCTGGGCAGACAGCAAACCGGCTCACGCGGAGAACCCCCTGCGGCGCGCCGTATGCAAATGTTATTGTTTGCATATGCAAATATGCAAATGTGCCGGCCCTGGTCACGGTGGCAGGTGGCGGGGTGCGGGAAGGTGTGGGGAAGGGAGCTGAAGGATAGGAGGAGTTTGGGGACCTGGGAGCGGACCAGTGAGAGGCAGCCTGGGGTGGTCCCTGGAGTAGGGCAGGCCGAGGGTCTGGAGCTTGATGGCGGATGGGGGAGGGTCAGCCCCGCCAGTCAGGAGATCCTCTTCTGCCCGTTGTCTGCCAGGCCTGAGGTTGGCACCGCCTAGCAAGGTTGGCAGCGGGAGCCCGGGCACCATCTGCTGCTGATGGGGGGAGGGCAGAGGCTCAGCTGGGCTGGGGAAGAGAAGGGCCCGGGACGGACGCGCCCCCCTTCCTTCCAGAAGGCTGAAGTGTGGAGGGGGTAGGAAAGCACACAGGAAAACCCAATGCGGAACCGGGTTCGGTTTCCTGTTCCCTTTGCCCTTGACTGTCCCGGACGCCTGGGGGCGGTGGCGGGGTCATAAAGGAAGCCTCAGGCGGCCCCCCTGTAATCACGCTTGGGCTGGAATAGGAGCCGATCACAAGCAGTCCCCCTCCACCACCACACACAAATCCAGCCTTTTGCCCCCATCCCTCCTCGGAATACGCCTACTAAGAAAGGCGTGGTGGGGGGGCGGTCGGAGGCCCGGTGCGGGGATGCTAGGACTCGGGTCGCATCTCTTCATCAAGAGATCTGAGGGACTCCAAACCAGAGCCCCTGAGATCCTCGAGAGGGCCCCCCCACAATGCAAAAGCAAAACCAATTTACTGGCTCATTGGGCGGCGATGCTGGTGTGGGGGTGCTGAGAAGTAGAGAGAGCTGCTGTTCTCCCCCCTCTACACTCGGGGGGCACCCCCTCCCCCCCGCCTCGCGGAGCCGGCAGCTGTCCCTAATTAGAGCGGCGGTTTAATTGGATTTATCAGCAGTTAATAGGAAATTAAGCGAAGGGCCCGAGAGAGGGAGGGCGGGAGGAGCGGGGAGGCCGGCTGTGCCGAGCTGGAAGGACCGGTGCTTGGGGTGCCTGGGATGGGGACACGGGCCCAGTATCGCGATTGAACCCCATGATCAGCGCCCTCCCCCCAATACTTGCCCGCGGGTTGAGCCCAGGCCTGCCAGCGGAGAGCAGGACTCATGAAGGAGGCAGGAGCGTCAGCGCCCCTGTATGAGCCCCCAACGCCCCTCACTCCCACAAACGGCCGCCTAGGTGATGGATGATGTTGCCACACGCAGCAAAGGTCATAAGTCTGAGCCAAGGAACGGACTGAATTGAAAACAGACTGGAGGAGGAGCCAGGTTACCCAGTCCAGGACACAACCTGCACCCTACCCCTCTGCAGTGCCCACTCCGCTCTTAGCAAAGAAAGTACCCCTTACAAGTGGGAAGATTGGACAGCACGGGGGAATGAGGGAGAATCCAGAGTGACTGTCCCTTCCACACCTGCCTCATGACTGTGTGGGCAATCCTGGCAGTCCCTATGCAGCCACCAATGTCCCTCTGTGGCTCCGCACCCCTCCCCACGTGCTGGGGTTGGGACCAGCTGGCTTGGCTGTTGTCAGAGTGGCCCAGGGTCTGCACCACCCACCCTGGGGGCCAAGGAAGGAAGCTAGCAGGCAGTCAAGCAGGGGAGCGGGGTCCACAGCCCCAGGCACCTCCTGTCACTAAGACCTCATTATGTGGCTAGGCTGACAAGGCCTGCTTCTAGAACCCCAGCAACCTCTCTGCCACACTCCACCACCGGAGAGCGCAGACAGCAGCTCCTGCATGTGTGTGGGTGCAAACCTCTGAATGTGTGGGGGTTGGTGGGGCGGTCCCTCTGTGTCCCTGGAGATTATGGGTGTCTGTGCCTCTGGTGTGTGTTTGTGTGCGCCTGTGCCCCAAGTGTGTGAAGTGTGTATATCAGAGCACCAGGTGTTAGTGTAAGTTGGTATGTGTGCCCCGGTGTGTGTCTGTGCCCTTACGTATGTATTGGTCGGACTTGTCCCCATTCTGCCCCCCCACCTCTATGATTTTTGTCTGGCTTAGTCCCTGAGGGTCTAGGTGTGCATACGTGCTTTGGCGTGTCTATGTGTCTGTACAATCTTCACGCCTGGGTGTGCCCCGAGTGTGGGCATTTCCGCATGTCTCTGCCTGCAGGACTGTGTACGTGTGAGAATCACGAAGAGCCGCCGGTGAGTGTGTGTTGCTCTGGCGTCTCTGCCTGCAGGTGGGTGTATCTCCGTGACAGTGCGGGGGCGTGTGCCCGGGTGTGAGTCGCGCGACAGCGTGTATCCGAATGACAGTGTGACGCACGCGCGCTCGTGTGTGCGTGCGTGTGTGTGTGTGAGCGCGCGCGCGCGCGCGCGCGCGCGAGCGCCTGGGTGAGTCTCCCGCACCCGCCCCTTCTCCCTATTTCTATTCCTCTCTCCTCTCCGGGCGGGCTTGGCTCCGCCGTCCGCATCATCTCCATCCATTATTGAAGAAACAGCCGCGTCCGGTCCAATCACATCAACACCCCCCGCCCCCCTCCGTTCAGCTCGCCCCGCAGCCCCTCTGGGTGCTGGGGAGTGGGGAGCCGCGGCGCGGCGGGGGCGCCGGGCGGGAGCAGGCTCCTGACCCCGTGCCCCGACCCGGGCCAGGCCCCGGGACGCCGGGGTCCCCGGCGGAGAGTGCTTTGCATAAACAGATGGCGCGGGCGTCTTTGTCTCGCTCGTTCGCTCGCCCCGCGGCTCCCAGCTCCGCGGCTGTCTGGCTGATGCAATCATGATCATCTCTCGGAGCCTCGGGACCCGGCGCCCTTAATAGCTGCAGAGGGGGTCAGGGGCTCCGGGGCTCCCGAGCAGATGCTGGGCACTGTGTCTTCCCTCCCGGGCGCCCCCTCCACGCCCCACGGCTGCAGAGGGAAGACGGAGTCCGCGCCGAGGTGATGGGCATGTGGAGGTGACCGGGAAGTGGACCCGGGGCAGTGCCCTGAGGTGTCCCCAGGCTGGTCTTGTCGGACTGCTGCAGCCCCCCAGGGGCAGCAAGCTGGGGAATAGGAATAGAACTGAGGGATGGGAGGGGGGAGAACGAGATAAAGACAGAGACAGGCATCTGTAAAGAGAGACACAGAGGGTAGAGAGATGTAGAGGGAAGGAGAGACAAACACAGAGAGACACAGAAACAGATGCAGAGGGACAAAGCCTGGTAGAGAGGGCGGCAGAGGGAGAGACAGACAGACACGGCCAGAATGATAAGGAACAGAGAGACACAGACAGACACAGAGACAGACACAGAGAGACCGAGGTAGACAGACAGGGCCGGAAGAAGAAAGAAGGGCAGCCAGAGACTGGGGCAGGCAGGGGCAGAGGGCAGTCTTAGGGTAGAGACCCAGCCCCGGGAGAGGGACCAGCCTGCACCTGTGGTGCCTCCCACAGCTGGCGAGGTGGCAGATCTCTCGTCCCCTCTCCGCGCTTGCCCCCGGCCCCACCTCAAACCAGAAGAAGGGAAGCTGCGGGACCCAGTGCCTTGGCGGCGGGAGTGGCAGGAACGGCAGGCGGGGCTTGGACCGACGCTCCAGGCACTGACTTAACCTGCCCAAAACTGTGGGGCGCAGAGCCTGCACGACCCGACAGGGGGCGCCCGAGGCATCTCCCCTAAGAGCTTGGGAGCAGCTCAACCTCCAGGGGGCGCCCGCGCCCACAACCCCGGCAGCCAGCTCGCTCCGCCCAACCCAGCTGCTTTTGACTAGCGGCGCCGCCAGCGCGCGGATTAGTGTCCCGGTGCGATTTAGCGTTTGGAATCTGGTCCCCACGGGACCCCCGCACGCCCCAGGCCACGCCTGATCCGCAGCTAATGACTTCTGCCGTCCGTCACGCGGCTCGGTCAGCGTGGCCTGAGTCTTTCTGATGGGAAAGTACGGGAAGGTGGGGAGAGATGGGATCCGGAACTCACCGAGTCCTGCGTCCCAGCTCGGCCCCAGAGATCACGATCCAGAGATGGGTGAGGGCTTAGAAGTAGGATCGCAGACAAGGGCTTAGGGACTGGCACCAGGCACGGGTGCAGGGTCAAGGAGCACTGGAGAGGCCAGAGCAGAAGCAATAACGTAATAAAGCGCTTGGAAAGTGGGGGCGGAGGCCCAGGGCAGGAGGAACAGCCGCGGCTCTAGGAAAGGAGCGGCGCGGAGAGTTCGGAAAGCGCTAGACCCTGGTCACCAAAAGTCACAAGAAATGGTACAAGAGCCGGGGCGAGGGCCCAAGAAGCCAAGGGGGCGCGGCACGGGGGCCAGACGTCCCTGCCTGCGTCCTGGCACCCCAGCTGTGCCATGCAGAGCCAGATGTGCAGCCCAGATGTGCAGCCCCTGGAGCTCGAGCTCCGGGATTGATTTTTAGTCCCGGAGACTGGAGGGCTGGGGGACACGAGGGCCAGGACATTCCGCTCCCCGGCCCGGTCCTGGAGGTGCGAGCGCTCAGGGAGGGACGGGCTCTGCGCTGCTCCAGGTTCTGACATCCCGTCAGTCCCCCTCCTCCGCGCCCCCCGCCCCAAACGCATCGCTGCGAGTCTCTGTCTCTTTGTTCTCGCTGTGTCTCTGACACTTTATCTCATTATCCGCTGGAGGGAGGCGGAGAGCCTGGGACCCCGCAGCCTAATTACAGCCGCGCTTGTCAGCGCAGGGGGCGGGGGAGGTATCAGCGCCGGGAAAGAGGGGGTGGGGAGGCCAGGAAGGGTAGCTTCCTTCCCTCTACACCTCCCCCCCTCAGGTCCAGTGGTGGGTGCACAACTCACCCCTGTCCCTGCCACCACAGGGCTCTGGACCGGAGGAGTGGGGGAGCTCTGCCGGATTCGCGGGCGGGGTGGGAGGGAGGAGGATGGGAGGGCGGAAGTTAGCATGGCGGTGGGGAGAGGTGGTTAGAGTAGGCTGGGTCCCTAGGACCGCAGTTCCCCAACGACGATGGCAGTGAGCCTTCCCACCCTAGCAGCATAGCCGACACCGGAGTTGGCTGCAGAAAGGGAGGCGATTGTTCTGCCCTTCTATCTCTGTGTGTCTTGTTCTCTTTCCTCCTTCACCATCTTTTCTATCTTTCCTTGACTATTTCCCTTACCCCATTCTCTTCCTCTCTATCACAGCCAGAAACAGAGAGCCTCCTTGGGTGGCTCTGGCTTCAGCCCGATGGGAGAGAGGCAGCGCAAGCAAGTCTATCAAAACCCCAAACTTCACAACTGACTTACTCGATCCTGAGCCAGGTTTAAAATACACCCAGCTCCCCTGACTTCTAAACACTATTCCAAGCCAACCACAACACAACTCAGAGAACTACTCACGACTAGAAGAGCTGGGGCTGCTTCAGTGCTGTGGGTCTGTCTGTCCCTCTCCTCCTCCCACTACACTGTGTAGGGAGACAGAACTAGGGCCTTTGGGAATCTGCCAGCTCCCTGGGGATTAGCTCTAGGGCTGTGCGGGAAGTGCTTCAGATGCCCTCACTGGTCCCTGGCCCCTCCTGGTCCCACCCCTGAACCCTCCACCCCTGCACTTTGCTTGCAAGTCTGTCTGTCCGACTGCCTGTCCCGTGGTGAGTTCTTCCTGCCACCTCTGGATCCTCCCTCAATCAGTCTCTTGGTCAAAGCCTGCGTTGCCTCTCTCTCAGATCAGTTCAGAGCCCCAGGTATGAGGGTGTCCCCTGGACCAGGGTGCGGCCATCAGAAGGAGTGCAAGAGCAGAAAGCCCTCTGCTTGCCGACACTTCTCCCGCTCGGAGCTGGGAACTGCGGGAGGAAGAGATGAGTGGGGGTGGGGTGAGCCTGCTGAAGCGGGGCCCCGCTGGGCCGGGCTGGGCTGGGCTGGGCTGACCCCTCCCCAGTCGGGGGCGGGACCCCAGGAGGAGCGAAGGAGCAGAGCCGCTGGGGAGCATCAGACGGCGGAGAGGCGCTATGGCGGGAACGAATCTCGGGGCCCGCTTCTACCGGCAGATCAAGAGACATCCCGCGGTGAGTTCGGTCCCCAGAGCCACTGTATCTAACTCCTGATTCTCCCGTTTCCCTGGCGGGCCCCCAAATCGCCCAGTACGCTGCCTCTTGCCCAGTTCCCCCAGTGCTCCTAGTCTTTCTCCAGCGAGCCCTCAACCCATCCCTGCAATAAGCCCCGTGTCCCTTGAAGCCACCTGGGACCCGCTCGCTGTGGGATGAGGGAGACAAGGCTGGAAATGTGGTGTGGGAGGTTCCAGGGCCTCCCTCTCCCAGACTGGAGGGAGAGCCAGACCCGGGTTGGGGCGGGGGCGGGGGCGGGTGCTGGCAGAGAACATTGTAAAGGGCGCTCGGGACTGCAGGGAGGGGTTGGCCGCTAAAGTGCCCTCCGTCTTCTCCGCAGCTCATCCCGATGATCGGCTTCATTGGCCTGGGAATGGGCAGCGCGGCGCTGTACTTGCTGAGACTCGCCCTGCGCAGCCCCGACGTCTGGTAAAGGCCGGGCCTGGGACGCAAGCGGGGGGCCCGGGTGAGGCGAGGATAGGGTAGGAACGCAAGGGCCTCTCAGGAACGGCGCGGACGGGTGGTCTTAGCAGGGATCCCCGGGCAGCGCACCTGCGTGTGCACCGCGCGGCAACTGCGGGCTGCAGCCCGCTCCTGACCCGGGCGGCGCCGGCCTCCCCCTCCACCCGTCCGACCCACTACTCACTCCTCGGGGCCCCAGACTCGACCCGCTTTGGGCTGCGGAACCCGCGCCGCTCCCGGCCCGGTTGCCATGGCGACGGGCTCGGCCGGCGGGCGGCCTTTGGGTACTTCCACCTCCCTGCCTGAGCGCTGGGGGTGTGGCCGGGTGAGGGGCGAGGGGCGCCTTTGGGGCTGGAGTGGCGCGGAGACTCCCAGCCCCAGCAAGGGCGGCGGGGGTGGGGAGTGGGGGCTCTCGGGCCGAGCCAGGAGCACCTCCGGCGTCGGAATTGCAGGCACATCACTGAAACCCCAGGCCCTCAGGATCTCTGCCTCATTCCCGCCGCTCCGCTCTGGGGGGTGAACCTAGGGAGGCAAGAAGCAAGCGAGAGGCCCTGGGCTGGGTTGTCAGTCTGTCACCTGGCCCCATACTGACAGTGGCGACAGCCTTCTGTTTCACTTGTCAGCACCTGCTAACTTGCCCCCACTCCTATCAGTGTCTGGGATATAGCCCCCCCTCCAGGATAGGACGGAGGTGTTGGGTGGGGCAGAGACCCTGTCACTTTAGGCCCCAGGGTCCTAGCTTCCAGAGAGGAAACCCTTACCTTCCCCCTCCCTCTCTGTAGCTGGGACAGAAAGAACAACCCAGAGCCCTGGAACCGCCTGAGCCCCAACGACCAATACAAGGTACCTCTTCCATCTGTTCATCTTGGTCCCAGGACCACCCTCCCCACCCCCAGGCCACGAAGGGAAGTCTGGGGCACTCAGTGCCCCTTTCCCTCCTATAGTTTCTTGCAGTTTCCACTGACTATAAGAAGCTGAAGAAGGACCGGCCAGACTTCTGAGCTGGCTGGGGTGCCAGCGAGTGGTGAGCAGTAAACCACCATCAGCCAGCCAGCCAGCCGACTCATTTCTTCCACTCTCTGCCCCTGCCCCCAGGGCGCCACTCCAGCCACCCTGCCCAGCTGCTGCTTCCACAGGCTTGGTTCCCACAGGAGGGGACACAGCTCCCCACCCCCTTCCCTTGCTCCCGCAGCGGAAGCGCCTCTGACCCTCAGCTTGAGTCCCACGCAGGGGGGGTGGGGGGAGTTAGGAGAGCAGGCAGTGTGTTGACCCAAAAGGCTCAAGCCAGCCCCTCTGCCCCCCTACCCGGGCCTTGGCAGGGTGTGGCTCAGGCTACGTGTTGAGCGTGGCCAACGTGAGCCAAGAGCAAGCGGAGGCCTCTCAGTGCCAAGTGACGTGGCGGGCCCCGCGTTAGGCCAGGCTCGGCCAGGCTCGGGCGCCTCGCGGGGGCGGTGCTGCTCTAGCTCGACTGGGCTTGTCGCCCGGCTGCCCCGCCTGCCCTGGATGAGGCACCTTCGCCCCAGGGAAGCGCAGCGAGCGCCTCCCCGTGCCCAAGCCCACTGTTTCCCGGGCCAACAGGCATCCCCTCCCGCGGCCTTGCACCTGGGCCTCCCCCTGCCATTCTGCCCCTCCCTTGCTCCCCTCAGTCCCCTGGGATCAAACAGAAGCAGCCGTGGGCAAAATACAATTTCATTTAACAAATTGAATTTGCTGCGCCTGCTAATCACGTCTGGTGTCGGTGTCGGCTCTGATCGGAGACAGAGAAAGGAGGCTGCGGCCCCCGGGGGTGGGGGGAGGGGGGGTCCTGGTGGTGGTGGTGGTGGGAGGAACACGTTGAGGGAGACAAGTCACCACCTGGCCCAGGGGACCCCTCCCACAGTGAAAGGAGAGCTCAAGGCAGGATAGCATTTTATTAGATAAAAACAGAAGGGTGGGTGCCTACCTACCCCTTCCTCTGGCTCACAAGGGCAACTCCCCCTCTCTTCAAGTAAGAGCAAGGAGTCCGTGACACCGAGATAATGGGAGAGCTCGGGGCAAAAAGCCCCAGGCCTCCTCCTTCTAAGTCTAGTTACAAAAAGAAATCTTCTCAGCTACAAAGTCCAGGATATAGCTGGGTCTTTCCCAAGGTAAGAGCCCTTCCCTCCTCCAGCAAAAAATTGAAAGATAGCTCTCCTCTCCACTGGCCCTGGGAGACAGAAGGAGAATAAACTTCAGTCTGTGGGCCTCACTTCCTAAGGGCCCTCAGCGCTCATCAAAACCAGGCATGGGGAAGGCCCTGGCAAACTGCTCCACCCGTTGCCTGAGGTCGGCCAGCCGATGACTTGTTTCTGGGTCCTTGAGCAGGAAGGATTTGAAATCCTGGAGTTTGGCTAGAGGGGGATGAGGAAAAGAGCGGTCAGAACTCCAGAGAAGGCAGTTAGATCAGCCAGTGGGGGAGGGATGGATAGCGTATGGCTGGCCCAGCCAGGGTCTTGCCCACTCACCAGTCTTGCTCTTCACCTCCAAGCCAATGTTGACACCTTCATCTATAAAGTTCACAACTCTCCGGAAGTCATCCTCACGGAACTGTCGAGAGGTCAAGGCTGGGGCGCCTGGGAGAGAGGCAGAAGAGGATCAGCACAATCCAAGCCTACCTGGCAGCCATCCTGCCTTCCTCAAACCCCAGGTCTCACCGAGCCGCAGGCCCCCGGGTGTGATGGCACTTCGGTCTCCAGGACAGGTGTTCTTGTTGGCTGTGATGGAGACCAGTTCCAGCACCCGCTCAGCCCGAGCTCCATCCAGGCCCTTGGGCCGCAGATCCACTAGCACTAGGTGGTTGTCGGTGCCACCTGAGGGGAGGGACAGTCAGCAGGCAGGGGTGAGTTCTAGGCCTCTGTCTGAGGCTACAGAGGCTCTCACCCACCCCCCTGGCTCACCAGACACGAGTGAGTAGCCTCGCTCTAGCAGGGCATCAGCCATGGCCCGAGCATTCTTCAGAACCTGCAGGGCGTACTCCCGGAACATGGGGGTGCAGGCCTGGAGATGAGACAGTAGCACCTGGGACCCCAAGTGCCACCCCCTCTGCCCTTCCCCCTCCAGCACAGTTGTGACTCCAGGCTTGACCCCACCCAGACACTTCCCTTCTGTCAGCTCTGATTCATTTAGCAAGGAGCAGGGTCTAAGGCCAATGCCCCCCCCAAGAGTCGGCTCCCCAACCTGCTTTAGGGCCACAGCCACGGCAGCAATGGCATGGTTGTGGGGGCCCCCCTGCAGGGATGGGAACACAGCAAAGTTGATTCGGTCCTCAAATGTGTAAGGGATCTCCCGGCCAGTCTTGGGATCCACAGCCCGCGTCCCCTTCCGGTAGAAGATGAGTCCTGACCTACGTGGGAAGTGGGTGATTAGAATCTAAGCTGAGAAGAAAGGACGAGGGGTTGGGAAAGCAGGGGAAGCTGGCTGGCCTGGGCCCCCTGTGCTCTTGGGAGTCTACCTCAGTCGGGCCGGTGTGCAGGACTCCAGTGGTCAAGGAGAGCAGCCTTTCAGTCCCACCCCCAAACCCCCTAGCAGGGAACGGCCACCATGGGCAAGACAAGGAGACAAGACAAGGAGAGCCATCACAGCCTGGGCAGAAGTCTTCAGGGTTTCAGGTGGGAATGAACTCCTCTCAGATGCAGCCCAACCACGCCCCTGGAATAGGACGTGAAGGCAGGGAAAGACAAGGCCTGACCTCAGGGGAGCCTGACCTGGCCCCTCGAAGGGTCTTGTGAGTGGTGGTGGTGACAACATCCGCATGCTTGAAAGGTGAGGGGATCACCTTGGCAGCCACCAGGCCACTGATGTGGGCCATGTCTGCCAGGAGGTGTGCCTTGACCTCATCACACACCTGGGCAGGTACAGAGACAGGCCTTAGCCTGGGGAGGGCCACAAAGGCCTCCCCAAGGCTGCTCCCCTTCCAAAATCGCCCCACTACCCCCCGGGAAGCGGCCGGCACACCAGCCCCCCACCAACCTCTCTCATGCGGGCGTAGTCAATGAGGCGCGCGTAGGCACTGGTACCAGCTATAATGAGCCGTGGGCGGAAAAGTAGGGCAGTCAGTGCCAGCTGGTCGTAGTCGATGAGGCCGGTTTTGGGCTGGGTGGACAAACGAAAAGCTGAAGCCCTGAGAAGGAAGCAGGGCAGCTCGCTCTCCTGACCCTGGAGGGTGGCCAGGACTCCAGCCCCTCACCGTCCCCAGCAGAGGACCGCCAGGGCCCCAGCACTCACATTTAGCTTATAGGGCATGGACTCAAAGAAGATGGACGTGGCTGAGACCCGCTTGACATCAGACATGTAGCCGTGAGTAAGACTGGCAGCAGATGAGAGAGAAAAGAGAGCTTCAGAAACGAGTAACTCCCTGACTTCACCACACCCTTCCCGCCCAGCTCCAAAGGCCCCTGTCCCTGGAACGCTGCTCCTCGTATACACAAGCCTCTGCCTGGTCCGTTCCACGGTGAACACTGGCGACTGGGCTCTTCTCATCCTCATCCACTGACTTGCAGGGCAGGGCCCACGGGAGGTGTTCAATAACAATGCCCATCCTGCCCACCAAACCCATCACCCACCCCATCCATACTCACTGGCCCCCATCGGGCAAGTCCAGCCCCATAATTCGGTCATGAGGCTGCAGAAGGGCTGTGTAGGCAGCCAGATTAGCCGGAGAGCCTGAGTATGGCTGGACATTGACTCCCCAGTGTGCAGGATCCAGGTCAAAGGCCTCCAAGGCCCGCTGCTGACACAGCAGCTCAATTTCATCCACTACCTCTGCTCCTCCATAATATCTGCCATGAGATGGGGGTGTATCAGGGCACACAAAAAGGGTTCCAGTATCCCCCACAACCAGCAGCAAAGGCCACTCCTCTATACACACTGGGAGGGTACAGGCAGGTGTCCCCCACGGGGAGCAGCATTCCTGAGGCTGCCTTCCAGCCCTCTGGTGCCTAGCCCTCACCTCTTGCCAGGATAACCCTCCGAGTACTTGTTGTTGAGACAGGACCCCAGGGCCTCCAGCGCTGCTCGGCTGCAGAAGTTCTGGGTAAGGGGGCAACGGTGGGGTTAATGTCAGAAGGCACTGAGCCCCTTTCCCTGGAGACCCCCACAGCCCCTCCCTGCCAGAGCCCCAGGCTGCAGGGAGGAGCTGGGCTCTACAGAAAGCTCTGGTCATTCAGCGTTCCTTGTCAGGCCTGAAGAAAGGCCAGAGGAAGCATCCTGAGAAACCCAGCTGCCGTGACAGGTGTCCCCAGCAAGACCACCTGTCCACTCGAACCTATGCTTCCAGGCTCCTCCTTCCTCTTGGGAAGGGGAAGGGACCAGACTAGATGACAGGGGCCCCGGAAAGCTTTGGAAGCTCTCTAATGTCCCCATCCCATAATCCAGACTGGCCCTGCCTCTTCTTCAGAGGACAGTAAGAAGAGAAGGAAATAAGGCCCAGCAAGAAGGCCCTGAGTCTGCAAGGGAAATGTGGAGAAACAGCAGTACAATGACCTGTTACTTCTTGCACCCACGGTGGCCCATGTCGTGGCCCCTCTCCCCAAGCCCCACCTCTGAGGCAATGAGCTCCAGGCCACGACACTGCCTGTCCTTCTCCCTCTGCAGCAGCTCCCACATCTCAGGGTCACTGTCTGACAGACTCTCCTGGCCTGTCCAGCCGCTGGTTGCTTCTCCAGTCTGGGTCTGGGCCACCTCACTGTGCTGGCACCGGATGGCCCTCCTGACCAGCTGACCACATCTCTGCAGAGGCTAGGAGAGGAAAAACCAGAGTCAAATAAAAAGCACCCAGTCTCCCAACAACCCTCAACCATGCTTATCAGGCTTTCTGGCTCCAAACCTAGCAGCCAGTGGTCGAGCCAGCCTTTTCCAATTCTCACCACCCCCACCTCCGCCTTCAAATGCCAGTTCCAGAGCCAAGGTCGAGATCAATGTCCAGGGGGTGGTTCTGATTTGGTCCATTTACCTCACCTCAGAATTTCCCTCCACCTCGGCCCATGAACCACTCTGCAAAGCCATAGGGCAAAGTTTGTCCTCCAGAAGCCTATGTCTCTGGAGCTCAGGGGCAGTCTACTGAGGTTCCAGAACCTCCCCAACCCACAGGAACAAAAGGATCTTCCTGCAGGGCCTCCATGGCAGTCAGGGGGTTGGAGGCTGAGTTGGCAAGGATTCAGGCAATAGGCTGTAGGGGTAGTTTCCAGAGCAATGGAGGTGGCACAGAAGACCATTAGCAGTCTCTGGGGGAAAGGGGGATGGTGGTGGTGGGTGGTGGGGAGCCTGCTGGCAGGGAAGCCAGAACCCATATCCTGCCCTCTGTGCCCCCCAACTCTTCCCATGTCCTTCCAGCCCACAGTGCCAAGGGACGCCTGATGTAAGTAGTGGGGCCGCGTTGCATCATCTGCACTGCTCAGAGCTGGCAGGAAAGACTCGGCTCGCAGGTCCGGTCCAGGAAACCGGCTTGTTCACCAGGGTCCACGGGGCATCTGGTGCACTTCTCTCCTTAATGCCACGTGAAATGGGTGGTCGCAGGCCCTCGGGCGTCTGGTTGCCGGAATGGGGAGGGGCCCCAGGTGCTCCGCGGGCACTGGGGGTGGAGGGGTTCTCAAGGATTCCCTAGTTGCAAGTCCGCTCCCCGAGGACCAAAACCACGTGCGTGGAAAAGCCAGAACCCCAGAGTTTGTGAATGGGAACTGAAGTAGGAGGGGAGCTCGCTTTCTATTGGTCACCCAATCTCCGAAGCCCCATTCTTACCCGAGTCGCCCAGAGCAAAGAGAAGGGCAGCATCGCAACCCGAGGTCGCAGGATGTCCAGCCACCAACTCTGGCCGGGGGAAGCAAAGGGTAGGAAGAAGACTGAGCCGAGAGCGCGTGCGCGAGAACGGCCCGAGAAACCACCGGATTAAGGGGAGGGGCCTACGCATGCGTGAGGTGGTCCCTTTATGGTCTCTTGGGAATTGTAGTTTTTCCGCCCCCCTTCCTCTTCCGCTTCAGTTCATCATCTGTAGCTCATGGTCAGACAGAAGCTCCTTGCCTGAAAGAAAAGAGATCCAGTTCTGCACCACCTCCTCATTGTCCCGAAGCTTAGTGGGTTTCCCCCCCACTGTTGTCCAAACAACAGCCGTTTACTGGGTGCCTACTGAATGCCTAGCATTATTAGGCTCTTTGAAAATATAAAGACTCCTCTTCGAGCTAGAGAGCCTTGGTGCACCGGAAAGCCCTCTGGCTTGGAAGGGTGAGACCTGAGTTCAAGTTCCACCTCTGGGACAAACTAGCAAATTAGCCTATCTGCCCCTCAGTTTCCTCACTTGTAATTCAAAAATAACACGTAGTGAGGATTAAGTGAGATTTTGTATGTAAACATGCTCTGGGATGGATCACCCTCCCCTGATCCTCTGACTACTCCAAGGTTATCTCCTTCTCCTGCGATATCCTGGAGATGAGTGAGGTGCCCCCTTCCTGTTGTTGCACTTTTGCTACCTGTTCACCTCTTGCTGCTCCAGCAGTCAGTGAGCTCTCTTTATATGCCTGGGGCTCTAGATCCTTGGAACCGCACAGGATCTTCCTTTTAGCCTGACTTCGTCTGGACTCATCCTTTGGGAGAGGGACTCACTGACCCCTCTAGAAGTAGGTCCCAAAACCTCGGTATCAGAATTGGCTGGGAAATGTAGTATGAATATATGAGTGTGAGGCTTCTCTTCAGAGGTTCTAATTCAATGGATCTTAATGAGTAGACATTTGCCCACTCATGGTGACAGTGAAACCTCTCAGTGATTCTAATAAGCAGTGATTTTGAGAACCATTGCCTTACTTAGCAAAATTACACGTTCATTCATTCATTCATTCACTCATTCATTCAACAGACGTGTTGAGCTCCTACTCTGTGCCAGACATGGCCTAGCCTTGGAGATATAAGAATAGATCACTGACTGCTGGGACATCAGGTAACAAAATGCAACAAGCGCAGTTATGGGGCAACTCAGCTCCCAGAAGTCCAGATGTCCCAGGGGGAAGGGGTGGGGGAGGAGGAGAAGAGGATGGCTGTAAAGGAGGCAGTTTGTGAGTCAGAGGAAGAGAAGGACAATCCATCACAAAACACGTTCAAATGAAAAGTCTCATTTAATCTCCAGGACATGCTATTTTATCATTGCCTTACAAGTGAGGAAACTGAGGCCCAGATAGGCTAACCTGCTAATTCTAAACATTCCCACTTGGCTCTCATACCAGGCCTCAGAAGTCCTGGCTTAGCTCTAACCTCCTTCCCTCCTACTCTAGCCTCAGGTGTTCTCAGGTCTTTCCAGCAATGGGCTCTCTTTGGGGGTTCTTCTCCTTCCTCCAATCTCTGACCTACAACCACCTCCCACCTCCCTCTTCCTTTCAGCTTGATCTTGTTATTCAGCCACCCATCCATCCATCCATCCATGATTTATTTTCCCCTCAACGACTTTTCACTTCCAGGCATATTTAGATCAGACTCACCTCTGACTCAGTTTCCTGCTAGAACCAGTGGGCAATTCCCTCGAGAGTCCTGCACTCTCTGCGTCGGTATCTTGGCCCAGGACTCAAGGAGAAGGAGGGCAGAAGACGAGGTGGCGAGGTGTCGTTCTGTGCCTCAGCTTGTCCCTATCCCCTCCCTCGCCCCAGTCAGGGGTCCCCAGGGGAGGGGGGCGGCTGAGCTTGAGAACTGCTAATGAAGCCGTAGCCAATTAACGCCCGGGCCAGAGTTGGGGGCGGATAAAATTAGCAGCGGCGGCGGCAGGAGGGAGCTGCAGGGGCGGGGCGGGGAGGGTGGGCAGCTGGCTGAAGGGGGCCTCGTTTGCAGGCGGCGAGCGGCGGCGACGCGGCCCGGCTCTCCAAACTCGCGCTCGTCCCTTCCCCCACCCCCTCGTCTCTGGCCTCCCTCCCTCTCTCAGCCGTCTGCAAACTCAGCGCCCACGAAATTAGGAAGGAAAAGGAAGATCGATGACTCCAGATGCCGCAAACACCGTTCCCCCTCCCCCCCACCTGCCGCCTCCCGCCAGCCCCTCGGAGCTTAGCAGGTTGTCAGCGCTCTGCCTACGCTGTCCCTGCAACTCCATCCCATTTCAAGGCCTTATACCTCCTCCCCCAAGTCGTGTCAACTGTCCGCTGGTTGTGCCCTCTCAGGTCTCATCCCCACTCGATCTGCTGCTGCTTCACCTCGCCCACCTCGGGGAGAAAATCCCCATCTCAGTCAGAGCTCCTACCGCAAGGGTCGCCCTCGTCTCTCCCTGATCTGGTCCTGGATGACCTCCAAGGTGTTAGCTCCCTCAATATTTGCCTCAGTTCCCACGAGCCTCCGAGGGAGGAGGCCCTGGCCAGGTCTCTGCCACCCTTAAACCCACAGCACCACCCCCTTCCCTACGAAGGTCTCTCACACAGACACGTATTGGATTTCACTTTATTTTGTTCCCTTTCCCGTCTGTTTTGGCGTAGAAAAATATCACCAAGAGGAAGCAGCCGGAAAGGGGCAGGTGGAGCAGGACTGCAGGGACGAGAGGGAGGCGGGCAGAGAGGGCAGGCGCCCAGTCGATCGCCTAGGCCCAGGAGTTCTCCTTCCGCTACCCTAATTAGGGTTTCGGGGAAAGGCGGACAGGCATACCGGCAGGCAGAAGGGGTCGGGGACAGGCCGCAGTTTATAGGCCTCACAGTCTTTACGTGGGGACAGGGTGGAACAGGAGGACAAGCGCCTGGGGTACGAAAGGGTGCGACGAGGGTGCCAGGCCAGGCGTCATTAAAGATGCGGACAAAGGGAATGTCCAGCCCAGCGCCTGCGGCATGAGGGGGGGACCCACCGCAGACGTGAGGGACGCTGGGACCGCCTCCAAGCCCCGCCTATTCTAGGCCTGCGCTCTTGCCTCTTCACTTTGGGAGGCAGCGGAGGGGACTACCTCTCCCCCCCACCCCCGCCGCCCCGCTGCCTCGTGGGCACTCCCCATGAGGAAAGGGTGGACCTAGGCGGCGGATGGCTGATGGTCCCCGGGAGGGCTGTTCCTTTCGCCCTCGGAATGGAAGGGGTGGACGCGGCCACAGGAGCTGCGGGGCACAGGGAGGGGTCCCACTTAGGGAGGCCGGGATTTGGCGGGAAGCTTAGGGCCCAGGCGAGGGCGAGGCGCGCTACCCAAAGTAAGGGTGCTCACTCTGGAAGTTATAGTCTGGGCACACCTTCTGCACCAGTTTGTAGTCAAAGCTGAGGAAGGAGACGAAGATGCAGATGACTTTGAAGGGCTTGGCGCAGAGCCAGGCGGCATGGCTCTGCGTGTGCTCGGTGAAGCACACCTGCGACGGGTCGTACAGGCACGGGCGGTGCTTGCGCGCGCGGTTTGTCTTCTCATACTCCACGTGGCAGTTGAAAGCGCGAGACTCTTTGGCCCCGGGCACTCCCAGCGCGCCCCCGAATGGGCCCGCCAGCGCGCCCCCGAGGGTACCCCCTAGCCCGGGTCCCGCGGCCGCTATCCCCAGCGGGGGCCCCAGCCCGGGGAGCACCCCTTCCAGGGCCAGCGTAGACTGCAGCGGGTGGGGAGCCGGCCCGGGCAGCCAGACGCCCCCAAACTCGACGCGCTTGGAGGGCGGCACGATACTGACGCTGAGGTTGCCCAGGCTAGACGAGTTGTGGCGGAAGTACACGCTGAAGGTACCGTTCACGTGGTCCACGATCTTGCCGGTCACCAGCAGCGAGAACTTGAGCGTGTGTACCCGGAAGTAGAAGTCCCCCCAGCCAAAGATCTTTTTGGCGCGGGCCGCTTTGATAGACGGCTTCCTCTTGGTGCGCCGCGCAGGCAGCGCCCCCGCCCGGGCCAGCGCCCGGGTGTGATTAGCCGGCCAGGCCCAGCTCCAGGCGCCTGCGGTGCCCAGGCCGTGGGAAGCCCTCGGCACCGCGAGCTGTTGGCCAGGGGCGCCCCCTCTGGCCGCGGCGGGGCGCAGCTCCAGGTACTGCGGCCTCCCGGACTCCGGAATCTGGGCACTGACGACCTGTGGACGGAGAAAGAGCAGAAAAGAGAGACGCTGGAGTTGTCCTTGGCCATCCCAGGGCCCTACCGCCCCCCACCCCCGGCCAGCCCCTTTCCCCAGCCGCTAGGAGCCCAAAGGGAACTGGGCAGTCCACAGTCAGTGGTTCCGGGAGCGTGTACTGGTGCAGGCCGGCAGCCCTTCAGCCCTCTGTGCTCTTGGCCAAGTCACCGACCAGTACTCAGTTTCTCCATCTGTGAAATGACACTGAGAATCCATGTGTTCTCAGAGAACTCCGACGCGAGCTGAGAAAGGCAAAAAAGCCAAAGCCCGCGAGGGTAGAGTAGGGAGTGGAGCTGTGGACGCGGTCTGCGTCTCCCCTGGCCTGGAACCTGCTTGGTTCCGAGTAATGGTGGACCAGGGAGGAGGTGGACTCAGGCAGTCCAGGCCATGACCGCTGTCAACATCCCAGCATCAGGAAAGAAGTGACCTCCCAACACCTCTGCCCAGACTAAAGCCCCCACGCAGGCCTCAGCCTCCACTCCCTTGCGGGGAGGGGCCTGGGAAACCGATTGAACTAAGAGCCCTGGAGAGTCTCGGCGCTGTGGGTTGAGGCTGGGGGGCTCCGCGGGCACCCCTCTCCGCCTCCGGCACTCTTACTGTGGGGGAGGCCGCCTAGTGGTCCTTCCCGGGGCTTGGAGGGGGCCGGACGACCAACCTCGCCCGCCCTCACCCATCTCTCCGGCTGTCTCAGGTGGCGGCCGATCTGGGAGACAGCACGGGCGCGAGTACAAGATGGATCGAGAGGCGGGAGCGGCCGGGCCAGGCCCGGGCCATCAATTATCTGGGGCGGGGGGGGGGGGGGGGTGGCGGGGGGGGGGTGGCCAGGAGGGAAGGAGATGTGTGAGAGCCAGAGGAAGAAATATGGAGATGCCGCTCCAGCGAGGGGGGCAGGAGGGAGAGGAGCCGCGGTGTCAGAGTGTGTCAGGCAGACTGTTAGCTGTGGCCGGCTGGCATGGCCCTTGCTGCCCAGGTTCAGACTGTTGGGGGGCGGGGGGCGCGTGTGTCAGCCTGGGTGCTGGTGTTTCTGTCAGCCCGAGCTTGGTTGTGTGTGTGTGTGCGCCTGGAGTGACGGTGTGTGTGAGAGCGTGTGTGCGCGTGCACGCTCACCATGTGTCTCAACCTATGGTTATGGGTGAGTGTGTCTGCTGGAGGGGCTGCGCACGGTGGTCTGAGGGGCCTGTGTGTGTGTGTGTGTGTGTGTCTGCCTGTGGTGCTGACTGTTGTGTCAGTCTGTTGGGGCTGTGTAGATGCGCCCGGGTTGTGAGTGCACTTGGGTTGTGTGTGTGCCCGGGTTGTGCGTGCACCCGAGTTGTGCGTGTGCAGGTTGTGCGTGTGCCCGGGTTGTGCGTGCACCTGAGTTGTGCGTGTGCCCGGGTTGTGCGTGCGCCCGGGTTGTGCGCGCGCCCGGGTTGTGTATGCGCCCGGGTTGTGCATGGGCCCGGGTTGTGCGTGTGCCCGGGTTATGCGTGTGCCCGGGTTGTGCGTGTGCCTGGTTGTGCGTGCGCCTGGGTGCTGGTGTTTCTGTCAGCCCGAGCTTGGTTATGTGTGTGTGTGCGCGCCTGGAGTGACGGTGTGTGTGAGAGCGTGTGTGCGCGTGCACGCTCACCATGTGTCTCAACCTATGGTTATGGGTGAGCGTGTCTGCTGGAGGGGCTGCGCACGGTGGTCTGAGGGGCCTGTGTGTGTGTGTGTGTGTGTGTGTCTGCCTGTGGTGCTGACTGTTGTGTCAGTCTGTCGGGGCTGTGTAGATGCGCCCGGGTTGTGAGTGCGCCTGGGTTGTGCGTGTGCCCGGGTTGTGTATGCGCCGGGTTGTGTGTGTGCCCGGGTTGTGCGTGCGCCTGAGTTGTGCGTGTGCCCAGGTTGTGCGTGCGCCTGGGTTGTGCGTGTGTCCGGGTTGTGTATGCGCCCGGGTTGTGTGTGTGCCCGGGTTGTGCGTGTGCCCGGGTTGTGCATGCGCCCGGGTTGTGTGTGCGCCCGGGTTGTGTGTGTCCCCGGGTTGTGCGTGCGCCTGGGTTTCGCGTGTGACCAGGTTGTGCGTGTGCCCGGGTTGTGCGTGTGCCTGGGTTGTGTATACGCCTTGGTTGTGTGTGTGCCTGGGTTGTGTGTGCGCCTGGGTGTGCGTGTGCCCGGGGTTGTGTGTGTGCCCAGATTGTGTATGCGCCCGGGTTGTGCATGGGCCCGGGTTGTATGTGTGCCCGGGTGTTGCGTGTGCCCGGGTTGTGCGTGTGCCTGGGTTGTGTGTGTGACTGGGTTTCGCGTGTGACCGGGTTGTGCATGTGCCCGGGTTGTGCATGCGCCTGGTTGTGTGTGTGCCTGGGTTGTGCGTGCGCCTGGTTGTGCGTGTGCCCGGGTGCGCTGTGCGTGCCCGTGGGCTGGTCTGAGCGAGGCTGTCGGTCAGCTTGTGGTGCTTGCGGTCGGTGTGAGTGGTGTAGTTGTATGCCTGCGTTGGCTGTGTCTGGTTCTCGGGAGCTGTTACTTTTCCTGTGTGAGCCCCTATCATCCTCTGGCCATGTGTCAAGCTCTTTCTCAAGGGTGTGTGTCACCATACCCACAATGACAGAACGAACAAGTGCGGTCTGTTCCCGGAGGGGAGGGGTGCATTTGTGTGAGTAGATGACTGGTCCCTGGGGGGTTCCCCGCACTGGCCTGCAGGCTGAGCTTGGGGTAGGTAAAGAGGCCTGGTAGCATGGGTGCCCCCTTCTGTTTGCACATGCCCTGTGTACACACCAGGAGTCCACAAGGGACAGGAATGCCGGAGTCAAGGTGCTGGGCTAGAATCTCCACCGCCTGGTCCCCATCCCCGCAGCACTGCGATCCCGGGTTATTAATGCCGCCGCCGCCACCCACTCTTCATACATATTTATCGCCCCCCTCATTCCTCCTCCCGTCCATCCCTCCTCCCAGCTCAGGTGAGGGGGGCGGGGGCGGCAAGAGTGATTGACTCAGACAGACAAGCTTGAGCTAGCAGCTAACACCAGGAGGGTGGGCCTGAGAAGGACGGTGGGAAGGGTCCCAGGCCACCGTGGGGGGGAGAGGGGGCAAGGCAGGTGTCCAAGGAGGTAGGCTTGGAGAGGGCAGGGCCTGAGCCTCAGGGAGGTCATTGGAGAAAGGGAGTGCATAAAGCTTCCGGAGAAAGTCAAAGAAGGGGGGAGTCATTTGAACTCTGACTCCTAATCTCCTCACCCTTCTGGACCCAACATTGCCTTCCCAGGGGCATCCATCAGTCTCCAGTCACCGGCTCTTATGACTCCGAATGCCTCTGAGACACCCCCTCCCAGTACACCCCCGCAGCGCTCGTAGTCCTGCATCCAGCCCAGGACTTGTCAAGGGCTGCTTCAGTCCAGCGACTCCTCACAGGCAGGAGCTGGGAGAGGGAAGGAGGTTTGGCTGGGTGGTGAGGGGTGCTGGGGGTCTCCCCGCCCCCGGCCCCCACCGCCCGGGCGATCCCAGACAAATTGCTGTCTGCGCTTCTCTGATCCTGGCAAATCCCTGGGCTTTGGGCACCCGCACCCCCACCCACTGCAGGAGACTGCCAAGATAAAAGGGAAGAGTTGGGGGGGCAGCCAAAGCGACCTTGGGGGAGCTCAGACAGGGAGGGGTGAGAGCCTGTGAGGAAACGAGCCGAGAAATGGGAACATGGAATAAAATAAAATAAAATCCTCCCTCTGGCTTCCTCGCTTGCACGATCACTCTCCCTCTCTCTCGCGCTCCCTCTTTCACTGTTTTTCCACCTCTCTCCGCGACTCTTCTCTCAGTCCCTCACTCTGTCTCGAATTTTCTCCTTCCGTGATTCTGTTTTTCTCCCTGTTTCTGTCTGTCTCTCTTGGTTCTTTCCCTCTATCCTTCAGGCTGTCTCCAACTGTGGGTGCAGTGGGAGTGAGGGAAAGAAGGGTGATAAAAGAGCCCCTCTTTCCCCAGACCCATGGTGCTGTCCCTCCCCCTCTCTGAGAGTGGGAGCAGGGTGCTGTCCGAGGAGGGGTCCCCCTCGCTCCAGAGCTGGTTTAATTAAGCTAATTGGGCGCAGTGACATTTGCCGAGGGGAGAGGCTAGTCTGGCTGTCGGCGCTGGGGGCGGAGGTGCTTGGTGGCAGGCGGGGGTGGGAATGGGGGTGGGGGTGGGGGGTGCTCCTCCCAGGCGCCTCCAGGCCCATGCGGGGCGGGAGCCCAGCCAGGAGTGCTTTGCCCCTGAGGCAGTGAGCCCACACAATGGAGGGCAGTTGAGGCAGCCTCTTGCTGCTGAACAAACTCCACTGTGTGTGTGGGGGGGGGCGGTTCTTACGGGATGGGACCGCAGGGAAAGGGGGGAGGTTCAGGCTGTCGGCCCCCAGCCGCATTGCAGGGCGCACCTCCCCCAGGCCTCCAGGCCAGTCCCTGGCTTCTGTCCGGCTGTGTGGGTCAGGCGGGGCTGCTCAGGATTCTGGCCCAGGGGAAGGGAACGGCACCCTGTGGTTGGGGAAGGAAGAGTGCTCCGGGCCTGGGCTGAGGAAGGGTAGGGAATAGCGTATGAAGCCCTTGTACCTAGCAAGGGGTGGGGGTGGGGGCCACCGCAGACAGGGCGGGGTGGACTAGACAGGGTCTGGTTGGGAACCAGGGACAGAGACGGGGGTAAGGACAGAGGCGGGTGGACAGGACAGGCTGGGGTGAGGGCTGGGATGGAGAGAGAGGGGGACTGGGGTTTGGCACTCGGCAGGCACAGGTATATGGTGCAGAGATAAGGATGGAACAAGGATAGGCATGGAACTGGGATGGAGAGGAGATCATACATGGTGGTTAGGCATTGGACAGAGACAGGGATGTAGATGGGGTAGGAACTAGGGGAATGACGAGGGGTAGAGAATGGTATGGGAACCAAAATGGGGATGAAGGAGGACAGGGATGGTGGATGAGGGATGGGCACTGGGGACAGCAAGCAGGACTGAGAGTGGGATAGGAACTGGAGGATGGGGATGGGGAGCAGATCCGGGCGGGAACAGAAATGGGGGATGGGCTTCTGGGCAGGAACAGGGGTGCTGAGGGATGCAGAGACCCAGGAGATGGGGATGGCAAATGTGAATGGGGACTGGAATGGGCAATGGGGGGGACAAGGAAGGAGATGGGAGACAGGGACAGAGACAGGAGCTGAGGACAGGTATGGAGGACAAGTCAGAGGAAAAGGCAGAAGACGGGCAGGATTAGGCTATGGGAGGGGGCCGGGCAGGTGGAAGCGCTGATACCTCCTTCTAGACCCCACTATAGCGTGAGGGGGCGGGGACCGCTGGTGGGGCGGGCTCTGCCCTTGGGCCGTGCACCCCCTCCCCCTCACCCCGCCTGCCCGCTTGCTCGAGGCCGGCAGCGCAAGGCTACCGTTATCTGAATTTTTATTTTATTTTATTTTATTTTATTTCCCTGCTTCCTAGAGCCGGCGCGGTCCCCCCGGGAACGGCCGCCCCCCGCCCCCCGCCCCGCGCCACACTTTATTATTGCAATAAATGTGCCTATAAAGGCGCGGGCTCCGGGGCGCGGTGGTGGTGGTGGGGGGAGAGCTGCGGAGCGGGGATGTAATTTCCCGAAGCCGGAGCCGGAGGGGGAGTGGGCGGGGTGGAGGTGGAGGAGGGGCAGGAGAGGGAGAGGGGGAGACTCGCCAATTTCTAGCGCTCAAGGCAGCGCTTCCTGCTCCCCATTCCCACCTCGCAGCTCGCTTGTACCCCACACCCGCGACTCCCCATTGCTCCCAGCCGTGCTTGAGTCCTGGGACCCCTACCTACCCCATGACCCTGCCCTCTCTCTGTCACCCTGTCCCCTTCCTGGACCCCACCCATGTGGAGTTGCTGGGCTCTGTTCAAAGTTCCCCATCTCCTTGACAATGACTTCATCTCTGAGCCCTGGGATGCCCCTTCCACTTACCTGGTCTCTTTCAACGTTTATGTCGCCCCTTCCCAGTGACCTCGCCTCTGACCCCGGTGACCCTTCATTACCTTGTTTCTGTCTCCCAATTACCTCACCTCTTCCCCACTCACCCAGTCCTGGATCTCCAATTCCTCCCCCACCCCAACCCCATGACCCTCTAAATTTTCCTTTCCAATGAGCACCTCTCTCATACATGCAGGCTCTGGCCCAAGGGAGCTCTCACAGGGCCCCCCTTCTCCTCTGCCCCCGGCCCAGCTGCGGCCCCTGATTACCCCAAATCCCCGCCAAGGCTCTGGGCCCTCACCCAGGCTGCACGTGCCTAAGTGGCCCAGCCAGAGATTAGCTGGGGGGCTGGAGAGGGGTATGAGGCAGGAGGGGGTGGCTAGACGCAGGTCTGGGGCCCCGCCGGCTCTGAGAGGCTCGTTTAGGCCTAATCCTGCCCTGAGGCAGGATAGAGATGGAAGGTCCCACAGGGCCCCGCCCCTGCCCTCCCCCAGCTAATTAGTAATTAGTGATTAGTGATTAGTGACTATTGATCGCCTGCTGCTTCTCCTAGTAGGCAGCAGCTTTGGCAAGGGGTGGGGAACGCAAGAGACAGAGGGGGAGAGGAGTCAGAGACCTTATCAGAAAGATCCTGAAGAAGGTCTGGCCAAGAGGCCACAGCCCCCGGGGTAGCAGAAGCCCGGAGTCCCAGGCCCAGGAGGGGGCTGGGGAGGCAGGGTTGTTAGCGTTGGACAGTTAGGATTTTCCAAAGAGCTACCTTGTAAACTGTCCCCCACCAGCCTCTTACCGTGTCAACATATTCCCAGCCTGGCCCTGAGACAGCCCTGAGCTCTCACACACACGCCTAAGCCACACTCAGATACATGAACGCATCCTGAGCCTCACAATCCCATACCCACACCCCAAGGCACTCCAAACCACAAGCACACAGACTCTCACAAATGCCAGAGACTTACCTACAGGCAACACATGACCCCAGCACACAGATGCACTCGGAGACCCACCTTGGGACAGGCCCATGTGCGCATACTGTACTCACAAGTGCGCACAAGCACACACAGATAGGCACTTGGACACACAAACACTTCTCTACACACACTCTGCCATGCAGCTACACATATGTACACACCCACAGGCCTTACATGCGTGCAAACACTGATTCTCACATGCACACAAGCTGGACCAAATGGCAGATACATTCTCCCCCACTGACTCCAACACGGAGGCCCACCCACAACCAGCTCACACACACTCAGATCCCCATCGCTCACATCCTCACGCTTACTCTCCTTCAAGTCTTCACCAGATGTTTCATTCCCCTTCAGGGGGCAAAGGAAATTAAACCAGATCTGTCCACAGGGGAGTTTATTTGACGGGGAGAGTGGCGAGGAGAGTGGGGAGGAAGTACAAAGGAGGGGCAGGGGAGTAGCATCCTTACCTCCTCTCCCCCAGGCCTTCACATACACAGATGGGTTGTGGGGCCCAGGCCCCCTCCTGCAGTAGTCTAAGGGCAGAGCTGGGCAGGGAATCCAAAGGGAGCTCCTGCCAGGGGAAGCAGTTTTTGTGAAGGGGGCCCCTAGGCCCACATTCCAGCCCCTCAAGGTCACCAGGCGCGTTTGGGAGAATCAGGAAGCTCAATCACCACCTTCACTAGGACAGCCCCTAACCTGCTGGAGTTGCTGAGTTTGATTTGGCTGAGCAGGTGGGGTCCAAGTGTTGGCAGGGGAAAGGTAGGATGACTACACCCCTTGCAGATTCCGCAGGGGCTCGGGGCTGGTGTGCAGGTAGTAGGGGTTTAGGAATCTACCTGCCTGCCGCCAAGCTAGGAAAGTCGCAGTTAGGGTGCAGGAAATGCAAAAGTCCTGAGCAAGGAGGCCATGAAAGGAGACGGGGTCCAGGGCCTAGGCCCCCATTGTGGGGCACATAGCAGGGCACTGTGAAGCAGGCGCTTGCACTCACCCCTTCAAAGCCAACACCACACACCACAGTAGCTTACACATGCACCCTGGACCCAAGCCTGGCTGCCCCAGACACACGCATGCACACAGGTGCACGCGCTGACCCACACACTCCACATCAGCACATAGGAGCCCACCGCGCTCGGGAGCTGAAGCCTCTAAGTTGGGAGGGAGGCAGATCAAATCTGGGCCTCCTTAGCCTCGGTGCTCGCCCCAGAGCCTGGGGGGGGGGGGAAGAGGCAGCCGTGGGATGTGGGAGCAAGGAGAGCACAGGAAGAGAGACTCCCCTCCCAGACAGCCCCCACCCTCATCAGCTGGGCGCGAGAGAGGGGTGTGTCTGCGAGGTTTGTGCAGGGGAGAAGGTGTCTCCGCGAGAAATGTGATGGGAGATTGTAGCCAAGTTCGGCCGAATCTGTGTGCGCGCGTGTGTTCGGGTCGTGTATGCTCGGAACACAGTGCCCGCCTGGCATTGTGACAAGTGCAGAGAAGAGAAATGGGAAGGCGGGGTGGAAGGGTGGAAGGACAGACAGCGAGGAAGGCGAGCGAGGTTGGCGCGGAAAGACGGCAAGGCTGACACCCTGCTGGCTTGTCTGTCTGTCTCGCACTCCCGCTCAGTCTGGCGCACTCGCGGGTCGGGCTTCGTCCCCTCCCCCGCCGAGCCTGGAGCCAGATCCAAGTCGGGCCTCCACCCCGGCACCCACCCCCAACCCTCAGCCAACTTGGGCTGGGAGAGCGCCCGTCCTGGATCGGGGAGTCTGTCTGTCCGCGTCCCCGGCGCCGCGCAAAGTTGGGACGCTCCGCGCTGGGGGCCGGGCGGGCGCACGGAGCCCCTCGCACTCTGGGACCTTTGCGTCCCGGACCCCGGCGCTCCCGCTCCAGCCCGGCTCGTCCTTACCTTCCTCAGGAGCCACGGACCAAAGAGCAAGAGAAGCCATTCCGGGAGCAGCCGCATCTTCCCGGGCGGCCTAGCGGGGCGGGCGGGACGGGTCCCGGGCAGGCCGGAGCCGGGCCTGGGGGCGAGGGGCCCCGGGCTGGCGCGCCGTGGGGCGGCTGCCGGAGCGGCGGGAGCAGGCGGCGCGGCCCGCGCGGACTGAGCCCGAGGAGCGGAGCTCGGCGCTGGGGGCGGGGCGCGGGCGGGGGAGAAAGTTGGGTCGGACTCGGGCGGGCGGGGGGGGCGGGGCTCCGCGTCGCTCCAATCCCGGCCGCGCCCCGCGCGCCCCCTCCCGCCCAGCTGGGGGCACCGAAGGTGACTTTCACCCCGACACGCCCCGGACACGCCCCCGGCCCAGGTGCGACGCGCAGAGGGCTGCGGGGCCTAGGGGTCGCGTACCCGAGGGGCTAGGTCTGTGCGCCGATGAGGGATGGGCCGGGCGTGGGGCCCGAGGCTCCGGGACCGTGTCCCCGAAGGGGTGCACGGCGGAGCAAGAGCCCGGCGAGGCTCAGCGGCCCCTCAAGACCAGGGTCCCTCGGTGCTCCGGGCCCCTTCTAGACTCCGGGCTGAGGTGGGTCCGGGGCAGGAGTAGGGCAGGGGCCGAGGTGAGGCCGGGCGGGGCCTCGGGCGGCTGTGGCCGCGCGGCGCTGACGGGGATGGATGGGCGCCCCGCGGCTCATTCGGCCCGGAGATGAGAATCATTGATCACGGACGGAAACCCCATCACGTCTGTCAATAGGGCTGACAAACGGCGCCCGACGCCCCCACCCCCGCCCCCAAGCCACCTCCGTGGCCTCCGGACCCCTCTGCTGGACCGGCCGTTCACTTTTGCCCCTCGCGCCCCACCGCTGACCCCCGCGCGGCCCAGAGAGTCCCTGCAGGGGGGTGGGGTGGGGCAGGAAGTCCCCTCAGCGCCGCCTGCCCAGCCTCTTGGTGCAGTCTCTACCCCTTCCCTTCCACTGTCCCATCTTTCACCACCAGCTCCTCTTGGGCCTTGTCCCTTTCCTTTTCCGTCTCTGCCCTTGTCTCTGTCCCCAGCCCCAGCCTTGTCTCTGTCCCTATCCTCTTGGCTGTTTCTTCATCAGCTCGGCTCCCTCCCCCCCGCCCCCCAGTCTCGCTCTCTTCCCTGCCCGGGGAGTCTTCAGCTGTCAGCTGTTGCTATGCGCTGAGGCTGTGGCTGAGGTTGTGGTATGACCGACACCTAGACAGTGAGAGATGGGGACAAGCAAAGAGACCGAGAGACACATGCATGCCCTGAGACACCAACACCCCCCACCCTAGGCACGCACGCAGATGCATTCACAGGGGCAGGCCACACACAGAGGTGAACCCACGGGCGGAGCGAAACATGGTCATGCAGAGACCAGCACACACATGCAGACAGGTGCACACCTAGAGGCACACTGCCCCACACAGATGCACACCCCCCCCACAGGAGCACACACACACAGATGCACACCCCCCCACACACAGATGCACACCCACCCACACACACAGGAGCACACACACACACAGAGACAAATGCACATTTGCAGCAAGAGACAAGCACACCCAGCCAGGTGCTCGGACCCCACCCCCTTCCTTGCCGTGGCAGAGAGCAAACATCCACAGACAGAGATGGACACACGCACAGGTACACGCTGGCCCTGGCAGTCCAAAAGACAAGCCCAGCCACATACAAAGAGATATTCAGATACAAAGATGTGACAGACAGCAGAAAGGATCAGTGATGCTGAGAAGATGAGGCAGACACAGAGACACCCAGAGAGATAGACAAGCCAGGAGGCGGGGACCTGGGTGCAGATGGGGCAGAGAGGAGAGAGGCCGGAAGGGGCAGGAATGGCCAGGCCCGACGCCCCAAGGCTCCAACCAGAATCCTGAGCCCAGGTGCCAAGCACAGGGGCTGCTGTGAGGTAGTAGACGGGGCCAGTGGAGACTCCCAGGCCTAGGGCACCCGGGGTAGCAGCCCGTCCCTAGGGTCTTGATCTTCTGGAGTCCCGACTGCTCCACCTCATCTCTTCTCCTTTTGCTAGTCTTAGGTCACCTCCTTCTGTCTCCAGCTATAGACACACACACACACACACACACACACACACACACCCACACACCCACTCCCGTCTCTGGGTCTTTGCCTCTGCCCTTGCATCTCTCCATCCCCATATCTCTGTCTCTCATTCTGTCTGTATCAGCCTCAGTCCCTGTCTCTTCTCCATCTCTGTCTTAGGCCCGATGTCCTTGCCAGGTGAGGAGTTCTAGGACTGCCTCCTGGTAGACTCTTTCCTGGCCGTTCCTGAGGGGCAGAGGGAGGAAGCTGACTGGAGGGGTGTGTGTTCCAAGCCGCAGCTGGGGGCCCCTCTCGCTCTGCCCAGGATCTTGAGGCGACAGGCTGAGAATCAGTGGCTCCCCGGGGGCGCCAGATGCACGGCTGACAGAGGGAGGGAGCGAGGGGGTGGGGCTGGTGGTGGTGGGAAGCAGGCGGGCGCTGGGGGAGGGAGGGGAGCCGGCGGGCGGAGGGTGGAGGGTGGAGGGGGTGTGGCAGAAGAGCCCGAGGGAAGGAAGTGAGAGGCTAGGCTGGGGTCCGCCTGCAGGTGCATAATTAGTGTTGGGGAGGGGGCTGTGCCGGGCTTACGGGTGAGCAGCGCTGCAGGAGTGCGTGCGCCACCTGGTGGACAGATGAGGTCACAAACCTTCCTAAGCAACAGTGGAGGATGCCTCTTCTCCCCAGCAGGGTGACTCTGCCCTGGGGCTCTGAGGTGCCCCAGACAGTGGACGATCTCAGAACTGGCTTGGAGGCTGAGGCTGGAGATGGGATCTCAGGGCTAAGAGGGATGGGGAAGGTTCTTGTTTCTAGAGGTGCCTAGGCCCATAGCTTCCTCAAGAAGGGAATAAGCTGAGGAGGTTGAACCAGAGAGGGAGGCAGAAAGCAACATAGTGCCCTCCTTTGGGAGATGCCCTCCCTGAGCTCACGTTTGCTGTTAAGGGGAGAGCGGTGCTCTAACTCTCTCAGTCTTGGACAGTGTAAGGCTGTGTGACTTTCTGCAAGAGGTTCCCCTCTTTCTGGGTGAGGGTCGCAGTAGACCTACGACCCCTCTGATTATAGCAGTCCTTTCCTGTCAACCCCTGGGATGTCTAAAATGATGGGTGAGCTGGATCTGTTGGTGGCCAGTGGGGCCTGGCTAACTGGTCTTCCCAGTTCTCCTTCAGTCCAGGGGCACCCCCCCCCCGTTTCTCCTGAATCTAGAGTTCTACTCTTGGCATCTGATTAATTAGTCTCCATGATGATGTTAGCGCTTCAAGAGCAAACTCAGGCAGAGAGAGCTGTGTGGGAACATCCTGAAGGACTGATTAGAAAGCCCTTCACAACCCCAGTGCGTTCAGTTCTTATGGTGGGATTTCTCACTGTGGGAGATCATTTTGGGGAGGCTGGTGGTGTTATCCTGTAAGTGACAATGCAGAGAAACAGGTTTTGGAGTTACCGTCGTAGAGCCAGAGAGAATACGAGATCCAGAAAGGTGAAGTCTCTGGCTCAAGGTCACACAGCCAGGAGAAACAGGTCTTCCTCCTCAAGTCCAGTGCCACCCCCTTCCCCTGCCAGCCAGATGGAGAGGGAGGGAGCTCAGGGAGAAGGGCACTGAAGACCAGACTCTCCAGCCTGCCTCCAGCACAGAGCAGGCCTCCCTCTGGTGGCAGAAGCAGGCAAGCACAGCCCAGCTCCCAGAGTCTCACACTCATAGGTAGACACAAGTGGCTTTTTTTCTTTTTTTTACAATTTTATTTATAACAATATCTGTGTTATTTAGTTGTAAAGGAGTTCAGCAAAAATTATTAAAACGTTCATGTCCCCAAAGCGGGGCTGCCCCGCTTGCCCTTTCTGGGTGTGCCCCACCTTCTCCTCATCCCCAGGGGAGGGTGGGGGAGGCCGGGGGACCATTTACCGAAGAAAGTCTCCAGCCCTGGGAGCCATGGTGGGGGCACTGGAGAAGGGGAGGGCCTGTCTGGGAGGGGTATTGAGCATGGCCATCTCAGAGGTGCCCCAGAGTGGGGGCTGGCGCATGGAACACCCCCCCCCAAGGAAGAACTAAAAAATTCCATCCTTTCCTTGCTCCCTCAGCCAGAGCCAAGTCTTCCCGACAGGGGCAGCAAAGGACTCTCCCTTCCCAGAAGGAGCCCTCAGGGAGCTGGGGGGGGGGGTGGTGCGAGTGGGGGTGGGCCGAGGGAGGGGAGAGCTTTGACAAAGTGTCTCGTACAGGGAGGGGAGGCAGCACCACCAGCTCTCCCAGTGGGGGTGCATTTTGGTGGAAGGTGGGAGGCAGGTACCTGTGAGCCGCAGGAGCCCCCAGAGCCCTCCCTGCCCCTCTCCCTGAAGGCAGCATGGGGGGGTGGTGCTGAGGAGCAGGCAGGAAGGAGGAGAACGGAAAGAGATAATACTGTGCTCGCTTGCTCACTTGCTCACTCACATATAAAAAGTAATTCCTTCATTTTTACATTTATACACCCCGGCAGGGCCGGGGAAGGGCTGGCTGGGCAGGAGGGGGCTCATCGAAGGACTTCTCTGGCAGGGGGCAGGAGGCTCTCTGGGGTGAGTCCAGTGATCAGGGCCCTATGCCAAGGGGTCCCCTATCTCGTCCTCAGGGCCCCGGCCCAGGAGTTCTCGCTTCTCGTCCGTGCTGGCCAGGGAGTGGCGGCTGCCGTGACCACCCATGTAGAGTGTGGCATACACGGGGTTGGTGAAGTTGGTGGGCTGCAAGGTGACAGAGGGTTCAAGTGGGGCTCAGGGGATGGGATCTGTGGCCCAGGTGCCCGGCGCCCCACCTCCATTCCATCATCCAACCCAGTGCCCTTCATCGTCCCACCCACAGTCTCTTGTCTCTACCCTGGAAGCCTCCTCCTCTGTCCTCCCGGCCCACCTTGTCAGGGTCCAGGGCAAAGTCAGCATCCAGTAGGCCCCCTACATCATCAGGCTCCCCGCCTTCATACATCTTATAGGTGGGGTTCCCAATCTCCACATTCATGGCCCCGTTGGTCATCCGCTGGTGCTGGAAGCCCTTAGCCCTGGGGGAAGCAGGATTTTAATGGGGCAGGGATTCTAGGAGGGCAAGGCTAGGATGGTAAACTAATAGCCAGAATTTTCCATAACTCACCCTCGGACTCGCCGCTTGTACCAGAATACCACTCC